CAGTATCGTTCGGGACCGCATCACGACAAAACGGTTTCTCATTTGTTTGATATGAATTGTCATAGGTTCCCCAATGTGGCCCATATTGGTTTCTTTGTGTGTGTACGATTGTTTTCAAACACGGCTTTCTTCAAATAGTTGCCGTCCCGGGCTACTCGTGCAAAGTCGTGCACAACAGTGGGTTGGGAGGTATTACCTAGGATGAAATGCTTGATGGAGTGCGCAACCAGTGGGTCTACAACGTAGACTGCTTGATGCATCGCTGGTCGGGTTTGCTGGGGTTGGCCTTGCAAAATGCTGTGGCCTTCGGTGCGCATGGTGATCTCCCAGAGTCCCTCCATGGTTCGCCAGTTCAAAGAAACGGTGACACAACAGCAAAACGGACGACACGCTAAGCAGCGCCCACGGAGGAGGAGGAGGAGAAGTCTCCCATCAAGCGGGGAAGGTTTTCCAAAAGGGGCAACAACAAAAAATTAACATTTTGTTGTTCCTCATTTTCCTCCTTATTGCCGTCGTGTGGCGCAACCGCGCACGTGCGCACCCCAGCGTGCACCGCAGAATGGTGTATTGAATCGGTACACTTGGTTCTCGGACGGCCAATGTAGCTTGATATCTTGGCGCAGATACCAAGAATTAGGGTGATGCGGGCGGGTTCGGGAGGAGTGCGCGGTTAATGTGGGGGTACGGACCATGACCCCCGCCATGCCCATAACAATGAAAAATTGCTTGTTTCCCATATCACGTCCACCGTTGCAGTACCATTTTTTCGTTTCGTCTTTTGTATGTCTCTCCTCACCGTTTTTTCTTCGCTTCGGATGAAAAACGTCAGCTCAACACGAGGGGAGGAGAAGGAGGGAGGAGGAGGAGGAGGAAGAAAAAAAGAAGAGGAAAAAAGATAGTAGGGAAAGGAGGACGGCCAACACGACGAAGGCCACATATTCAATTCGCACTGTTGTCCATCTGAAATAAAATTCGGAAAGGGAAAGTAAACACAGTGAAAAACACATGTAAGGAATGATGCGGAGAAAAACAACGGATGAACAGGAACGAGGATGTATGTGTCAGGAGCTGCTGGAGAATCGCAATTCCCGAAAGTGATGCGGTTAAGCATTTCCGTATCCCCCCTCTCCCTCGCACATCTCCTCCACCCTCCCAGCGGGAAATACAGGAAACAACGAAAAAAGATAACGACGAAACGGGATAATGTAATAGAGGAATGAATGCGCGAACTCACCCTTTGTCACGAACAGGTTGTGCGCTCACCATTGTAGGTGCAAGATACCGCGCCTCCATGGAAACACTTCGATCGCGAGGCCAAAATCATATTCTCTGGTGCGCCCTAAATCTGAACGGCCACGTGCCCGTCTTATACGATTTCACTTGCAAACTCCACAACCCGTACGACGCAGGCAAGACTTGCATCTCCGCTTGCTGGTGAGATATGAAAAAGTGATGCGTTGTCTCCAACAAGTTTGGGTGTCTTAAGACAGCGCAAAATTAGCACGCGAACGCGTCAAGAACAACCCGTTCTGTCATTTTTCGTGGCATCGCTACTATGCGTACGCAGTTGGAATTACATTGGAACAAATTCCAATTATTTCAGAAAGGCTGCGGCTTATGATGGGAGGCTCCAAGACGAACTCAACAAACGACTCGAGCTGCATGGGACGAATTCCAAATATACGCGAGAACATGGAAATACACGCGAATACCATACAAACAAAAAGCTACAAGTGTTTGGGGCGCCGATTATCAGCAAAGTTATGTATTTTTTGAGTTCCGCCTGGCTGAACAAGCGAAAAAGAAAAATACGAGTTGGATTCCAAACGCGCTGAATAAAACAATTTTGCTCAGAGCCGGGGCATCAAATTATATTTCACAATTGCTGGTTTGCTGAAGCGATGGCAGCGATGAGTAATGGTTGTAATAATTTTTGATTACCTCTGTCCTTTCGGAATGCCAGAATTTTGATTGCAAAACAACAACAACGCAATAGAATTCATCCCATAACATGTTATATTAAGTTTCTCTGGGCGCGTGTATACGACATAGAATTTCTTCACAATTGCGTTTTTCATTACTAGAATTCCGCATGCAAGCAATGTTTGCATTTTCTCCGTCTCGCTGGGGTATTTCGGATGAACTTTGGGCGGTAGCTCAGTTCAACCCCGATTCCGAAGAAAGACGGCGATAAATTCACAAAACAAAAAACGATGGAGCGCGGACGATGTCATTTGTTTTCCCGTTTTCCCGTATTGCCAGAGCGGAAGGGGGAAGAGGAAGAAGAGGACAAGAAAAACAAAATTATATATTTCATGCGTCAACAGAGGTGCGATGGGTTCAAGGTGTATTTAGCGATCAAGAAAACCTTTTGCACCGACATTGCAACTTAAACATTGCGGCACGGCATACATGATATTATTTTCAATTTGGTTTCCTGTCAATTATGGGTACCGAATCTCGCTAACCCAGAAATGCTTGACATTGCTAACGTAGCAGAAAAAAAATGAAAAATCCTTTTGGTATAAACATATAATTTTTCCTATCTTTTCAAGCTAATATTTGCCAAACAACATATATGTAAGGCAATATCCGCATGCATTCAAGCCCGCACCGTCATTTGCAAACAAAATGTTTCGCTCACAATGCGCGAACAATTCTTCGGGCACAAAATACAATCCGTCGATTTTATGCTCTTCATATGCACACGGAATTGACGAATACAGGTATTTTTTGAAAACGTACAGATATTCGGCAATTTATTTTACTCCATCAGCCGCCGCAGTACGTAACGAATTCTGTTTCTACCCCGCCACGTCCGACTAACGCGTAATATCACAACCACGTGAAACTACCACTTGGTATTGCGTGTCTGCCGAATAATACGCCCACATCCCGCACATTGACATGATAATGGTTAAAAAAACGACAACAAAAGAAGACGTCGAAAAAACATTCTTGCCACGCTCGCGATCAAAAAAAATGCAAGACAAGGCGTGTGATGCCTTATATCAGCATGATCACAATCCGAATACCAAAAAAAAAATTCGCAATGCGGTGGCCAACCGCATCGACATAAACATGGCATGAACACTGATTTGGGAATCGAAATATGCTGCGCTGACATTAGTTTCGCTCCACTCACTCCCATTAAGACATCACACGAGAAGCAAAAACCTTCCCACATATGCAACCATTTACGTGGACCGCCATATCGTTGGGACAATAACACGTTCAATTTAGAATACAGCTCAAGATTACGGAGAGGACGGTACGAATAATGGAAGATGAATGATGGTTCATTCTCTACGATACCCCGGCTTACGTCCCTGCTGGAAAAATTATTGGTTCTCTACGTGTTTCGGCTCTTACCGCGATCGATAAGTTTGACAGCCCGGCACTAGGTATTGCACCTGCGGATGCGTTGCGACGTTTGTTCACTAAAACTCTGGCACGGCAATTTCAAGACGCTTTGCAACGCTTTCAGAACGGCTATTCAACCTCATAATTTTGGTCTAGCACATATGCAACGATCCATTTATTACAATACAAAACGGATGTGTATCCCAATAAAGTGATCCTTACATGTGGACGGCGTGGGGGCAACACTGATTGAACCCCGTACGTCTGCCAAAAAGAAACAATCCTTGCAATGCGGGGTCTTGCAAATGTTCGAACATACGATCTCTGCAAACATGGTCTTTCGATGGGTGAACATTGCCGGACCGCCGCATGTGATATTTCAAGGCGAAACCCCTCGTGGGATTAAGTCAAAACACAGGCCACCTTCTGAGGATGGTTCAACCCTGGTACTGCGCGTAACCATGTTGCTTGCAGATGAGCTCCATAATACATTGGGCAAGCGTGGCGGGAAACGACAATCCCGGAAGAGGCACGGTAATCCGATCGATAAGATCGAGAACCCAAAAACACCGCCGCCTACCGAAATCGGCCTGGGACCTGGATTGATAAAACCCGATGTGTTGAAACAACACAATATCAACCAACAATGTTCTGAGAACGTGTCCTGGAAACCACAAGAGGATCTTAGATTCTGCTTGGCTGGAACCAAGAACCCGGAAACCCGGAGCCCGGGGGCCCAGCCGCCCACCGAAATCGGCGCAGAACTTTCGCCAAAGCATTCCATCCCCGCTAGAGACCCCTTCATGCAAGCACCGACGCTGAATGCAATGAACCTATCGGAAGACTGGCCGCGCAACCTGGGCGACACACTCATGCCCGGTCGCAGTAGATTCCATAACTGGAAAACATTTCCGCAACATAACATTGGTCCTCATAGCTGCGGACTTGGGTTGCCATAGCAGCGGGCTCGGGTTTCCATAACTCCGGACCAAGGTTTCTACAACTGCGGGCCCCAGACTCTATAACTGCAGACCAATGTTTCCGTAACGGCGGACCCGGTTCTCCATAATTAGCATATCGAATAATAACGCATGATTGCGCGACCGATAAGCACGCCGAAGAATTGTAATTGAAAAGCTAAAGCAACTTTTGCTGCGGAGAAACCAAATGGAGCATGAGGGGGACAGGGAGGAGGAGGAGGAGGCGGACGAAGGAGAACGAAGGAGGAGAGGGGGAGGGGGAGGCACGTGGAGAGGGGGAGGGGACGTACAGAAGAGGGCGAAAGGGAGCATGAAAAGATCTCCCGCTTGCGGCTGCGTAAGAACGGCACGATTCGAGCCTCCGCGCCCACCCCAATCGGGTTTGTTTGTGCGGGCGGGCCACATGAAGAAATTGAGGAAGACGGAGGGGAGAGAGAAGAACGAGACACAAGGTTTGAGGAGTACGGGGTCGGAACAGGAGAAGAGAAAGTAATGGCAAGGGGCGGAAGCGAAAGGAAGAGACGAGGACAAATCAGTAAATTTCAAACCCCGTTCCCCGTCCCTGCCTGTTACCGTCCGTCGCCGCAGCCCTCCTCTTCCTCCTCTCTCCCTGCGCTCTGCCACCGCTCGCTTTTTGACAGAGCCCTGGCGGCCGCCTTAGCTGGACAGGAGGCGCCGGTCCACGGGCGTCACGTGGATTCGCATGGCCAGTCGCCTCGGGAAGCGGAAGCGCTAGGCAGGTGAAAGAAGACTGCGAGAAGGCCGGCTGGGCACGCGGAGCATGGTCCCAAGCACGCCTCCGTTCCGCTCGCTTCGCACTGCCGGGGGCTTCTGCGGGGAGGTGCCGTCTTCCCCGAACTGGGTGCTGTGGTGGCCAGATTAGTTAGAGATAAAAAGCATTAAGACATTCCAACGACCAGATGCATATATTATTATTCAATGCAAAAGGTTCACAGAGTAAACTAGACCAGGAATTAGGTGTAGATGAGGAGGGAGAGAGAGATGTAATTGTGTAGTGGCGCTCAGAGGACGTCTGCCAGGACTTCAGCCGGTGATGCGTCGCGCCCTCGTGTCGAGACACGCTGCGGGCCCTGTGCTGCGTGCTGACGGCATTGGTGCCTCATGGACGCTGCCACCCCTCCTCCTCCTCCTCTGCCTCCGTCTCCTCCGCCTCCTCCGCCTCCTCCGCCTCCTCCGTCTCCTCCGCCTCCTCCTCCTCCTCCGCCTCCGTCTCCTCCGCCTCCGTCTCCTCCGCCTCCTCCGCCTCCTCCGCCTCCTCCTCCTCCTGCTCCTCTTCCTCCTCCTCCCTCTTCGTCTCCTCCTCCTCCGTCTGCTTGTCATCCTCCTCCTTCTGCTCGGCCTCTCCTCGGCACGGCCATCGCTAGTAGTGCCGAGTGGGCGGGCAGTGGCAACGAGACCCCGTACACAGGGGGGGGGCGCGGGCAGGCGAGGGGCCAGCGCGCAAGCCAGGGCTGAGGCTGACCTCGGGAAGTCGTGCCCTAAGACTGACACCTGGCTCGTGCACGATCGTGCAACTTTGAACCGATCGCGCCACCGTACCCCTCAATGCTTCTGTGCCGTTCTTTCATGCGGAATTCAACCTTGACGCCTTCGCCAACGCGCCATCGCCGCATGAACCTACTGTAACTTTGCTGGGCCGGCCTGTGCTTTCAAGCCTCCTTGATGAGGTCCGAGCGGATGGGGTCGCAGGATTGCACCGAAGCGCCGACGTGTCGTTGATGCACTGGCAACGTCGGCGATGCATTGGCGACTTTGGTATGGAGAAAATCGGGCTCCACATCGAGTCCATCTGCTCGGACCCTATCTGGGTGGCCTAGAGTGCTCCAGTCCGCGACGCTTTGCTTGGAGTGGAACAGTGGAGGACGACGGGGGTGAAGATGAGGTGTAGGAGCAGTGAAGGGAGGAGGACGCAGGAGAGGGCATGATGACATCCACGTCGTAGCAAGTCCAACAAGTAATCAGACGTCGACATGTGCAGTGAAAATGCTGGAGGGGAGGATATTGCAGACTGGTCGGTTAGGATGACGTGTGTTTGGGCTGGTGGGTGGTGGCGGGGGGAGGTGGGAGTGGAGGGGCGTTAAAAGACGGCGGGAATAAAGAAGTGCATCTCACCTACCTGCCAGTGGTCACTTCTTTCCCTTGTATACACCAAAAGGGCTCTTCTTTGCCTGTGTATAGTCTCAAACTCGAATCCGAGACCCACACCTACGCGTCTGGCATTGCGAGACAAATCCACCCGTAACATCAACAACACGTATCATCCTAACTAGTGCCACCCCGCCTTACGGAAATGACTGCTTACCTAAGAATTGGCGTCGCCAACCCTGGCCAACCTGTTTAAGAAACGCAAAGCGTGCTGGAAGCAAGCGGGTACGCTCGGATTGAGCTTCCTGGTATCGGCGCTGGCAGCTTGATGATCATCACGTGCGAGCGGGCACGCGTGGATTGAGACATGCTTGTCAAGCGATGTGCGCCAGAAGCAAGCCGGCACGCTTGGAAATCCCACCAGCCCTCTGGGCGACAGGTGATCTAACGAGGGTTTCTTCCCTCTTACAGGACCTCTCTTCACTTCGGGGAGGGGACCCTCACTCTCCCCTCCCCGGGATTTGTTTTGGAGGGAGCCCGATGTGTCAGAGGGGCCTTTTTCGGCCCCCGGGAGGGTTACTTCTTGACACCCCTCAAGAGGATCGTGGCCCCTGAGGGGGGGAGCTACATCGAGGACCCCCCTTTTTTGACAGACCGCCTGCAAGATGGCCTCCAGAGGCCCCCCCAGGGCTCCCAAGCGGCCCCCCAAGAGGGCTCCAAGAGCGCCCCAAGAGGCCCCAAGAGGCCTCCAAGAGCCCAAGAGGCCTCCAAGAGCCCAAGATGACCTCCAAGATGGCTCAAGATAGCCCAAGCTGGCTCAAGATGGCTCTCAAGATGCTCCAAGAGGCTCCAAGACCGTTCCAAGACGGCTCGATATGGCCGCGGAGCCCCCCAGGAGGCCGCTCCAACACGCCGTCCAAGCCGGCCTTTCTCGCTGTTTGACTATGCGTGTCTCTTCCTCTCTCCCCCCGTCAGTTCTCATGGGCGTCGTTTCTGGATGGACTGGTGGGGATGGGCGAAGCGTCAATAATAATTTTCTGCCGACATCGCTGGCAATTCGATGTGCGGGGCCCGCGAACCAGCACGATTGGAGTTCGTTTGCTGGCATCAACGCTGGCAGCGCGATGATCATCAAATGCGAGCGGGCACGCCTGGAGAGATCTTGACGGCAGACTCGTTGGCCGAAAACAATGCTGGCCATGCGAGATGCATCATAAGCGAACTGGCGCACCTGGAAATCATTTTCTGCCGACGACGCTTGCCATGCGATGGGCGATACCCGCGAACCGGCATGACTGGAGTGCGCTTCCTGGCATCGACGCTGGCAACGTGATGATCATCAAATACGAACGGACACCCCTGGGGTGAACGTCTCGGCAAGATCTTCGGAAAAAACGCCGGCCATACGAAATGTACCATATGCCAGCCGCCACGCTCGAAAAAACTTCCTGCCAACAAGACTGGTGATGCGATGCGCGGCGCCCGTGAACCCGCACGCTTGGATGACGACAACAAGGACGACGGCTACACGGAGGTCCACGGATATCCTAAACAAACCCAATCACTACTGTTGGAGCCAGCTTCCTGCCGGAAGAGTTATGAGAATGAAGAGGATACTCAAGACGAGGACGACTACAAAATAGGAAGCAACTGGAGAAGGACAGAGGAATATTACAACACCTAGGGTTTCGAGGAGAATCATGACATATTCGGCACTATCGCTTCAATGGGAAGAACTGCGTATGCACTTCGCGACGGTGCAAACCTCCCCTACAACGATGAGCCTGGCCAACCTCCCTGGCCCACACCGTGACAACCCTGCCTACCGTCCCGGCCGACCCCCTCTGGCCAATCCTGGCTAGGGCAGTTCTTTTCATAAGACCTGGTACTTGCTCCTTTTGCACGGTCAAAGGCCGAGGATCACATGGTCGACCTCCAGACTGATCGACCGACAACAGAATGCCGCCCACCGCTTCCGAGGCAGAATACCCGTCGGTCGGAAGAAGTGGGTAAACAGTAGGAAGGCGTTGGAAAGAGATTGGGCTTCCGCTCGCCCCCAGAAGAGGAAGGAAAAGGGGAAACCACTCGATCATTGAAGTAGGAAGGCGCCTAAAGTAGATTGGGATCAGGGGGTCCAGACATACCTACTTCCAACGACGAACGTGTAGCGTGAGTATGCGCTTCCCAGGGCAGATCCTCGAGCAGAACGCCCGTTGCCACAGGCATGGGAGGACGCTTCTTCTCCTGCCGCTGCTGCTCCTCCCTCCTCCTCCTCCTCCTCCTCCTCCTCCTTCTCCTCCTCCTCCCTCCTCTCTCCTCCTCCTTTCTCCTTTTCCTCCTCCTCCCTCCTCCTCCTCCTCCTCCTCCTGCTGCTCCTCCCTCCTCCTCCCTCCTCCCCCTCCTCCTCCACTCCTTCTCCTTATCAATAACTTCTCCCTGTCGCACCCCGAAGCCAGTTTTTAGGGCGAGCCGGGCGTTTCGCCTGAGACTTCCTCACCACGCATGACTCTGAAACTTAAACACTGGCAACAGTTTCAGAGATGCAGAGCGGGTGGTTTTCAAGATGTGGCTCTCGCTATAGCGCCGCGCACATTCGCTTTAAACATGTGCAAGAGCTTCACGGATTGAGGGTTAGTCGTTTTCAAAATGTGGCTTTCGCCATAGCGCCGCACACATTCGTCTTTAACGTCGCAAGAGTTTCACGGATTGATGTCTGTTCTTTTTCAGAATGTGGCTCTCGTTTTAGCGCCGCGCACATTCGTATCAAATATTTGCAAGAGTTTCAGGGGTTCTCATGATCAACGTAGAAATTGTGTCGTATAAGGGCTCAAGATTACGAGGGCGCAACAGTTACGCTGATTCGCTGTGCTGAAGTCACAGGAACGGTGTTCTGGCACGATTCAAGATTGTCAAGACGCAACAATCATGTTGATCCGTGGCATTGGAATCCAGAGAACATTGTTTTGGCATGCTTCAGGGTCTTCAAACGGTTGTCTTCCAACGAGGCAGTTCCCTTAAGTGGAAATGATCGTTGTAGGGGCCCATGAGGGAGCTTGGAGGGAGGGTTTATTCCAACATCGTTGATGACTCTTGGGTTTCCACTGGTCCCTCTTCCTCCTCCTCCTCCTACTCCTCCTCTTCCCTCCTCCCTCCTCCTCACCTCCTCTTCCTCCGGAGAGCGACGGCGAGGCGGTGAATCGAGATGCGGAGCGCGACGGCACGAGCGACACCAACGCAGCTCTTCCTCTCGGCAGCGCGCACGGGGGGAAGTGAGAAAGATCAGGCCTTCTCAGAAGGCGGCTGGGCTTCTCACAGCTCTCCGTCCTTCTGAGAAGGCCAGCGCCTTCTCAAAAGACGACGCCAGGACGGGGAGAACATCGGGGGAGGATCAATCGAGAATCGCTGAGATCTGGCGGTTCTGAATGATATATCGGGCGCCGCGGCCTTCTCAGCGCGTTCCCGAACCCTCTGAGAGCGTTCCGGGACGCTCTCGAACGGATGTGCCCTCGTCCTCCTCCTCCTCCTCCTCCTCCTCCTCCGATCTCACGTCCCCTCCAGGCTCGCCGCCGATCTTCACTCTCGGGGCAGGGCGCGTGGAGACAACAGCAATTCAAGATCGGTTCCCCGACCCCTCCTGGGGCCCAAGCATGCCCGGTGTTCCGAGCCGCGTCCGGCCGTGGCGGCGAGGGCCCTCCCCGAACGACCATTACCTTTGTCTCAACTGGCCCTCCTCTGGCTCGAGCACCTCCTCCTCCTCCTCCTCCTCGTCCTCCTCCTCCTCGTCCTCTTCTTCTTCTTCTTCTTCTTCTTGTTCTACTTCTCCTGTTTCTTCTTATTCCTCTTCCTCCTCCTCCTCCTCCTTCTCCTTCTTCCCCCCCCTCCTCCTCCACTCCTCCTCCTCCTCCTCCTTCTCCTCCTCCTCCTACTCCTCCTTATCCTCTCTCCCCTCCTCCTCCTTCCTCCCTCCCTCCATCCCTCCCTCCCTCCTCCCCCTCCCGCTCCACCTCCTCCTCCTTCTCCATTCCTCTTTCCTGCAAATAACTTCTCCCTGTCGCACCCCGAGGCAAGTTTTTTGGGCGGACCAGACGTTTCGCCTGAGACTTCCTCACCCTTTATGGCCCTGCAACTTAACAATTGGCACCAGTTTTTTTCAGATTGAGGGCGGGTGGTTTTCAAAATGTGGCTCTCGCCTTAGCGCCGCGCACATTCGTTTTAACAAGTTTCAAAAGATTCACGGACTGAGGACGGTTCATTTTCAACATGTGGCTCTCACCTTAGCGCAGCGCACATTCGTATTCAAAAAATCAGGCTTTCGCGGATTGAGGGCGGTCTTCAACATGTGGCTCTCGCCTGAGCGCCGCGTATATTCGTTTCTCCAAATTTGCATGCAATTCACGGATTGGCGACGCGCCCATTCGTTTATAGATTTACAAGAGTTCCACGGATTCACATGATCAGCGTACCAAGAACGGTGTTTTGAACAGATACAGGATTTTGCAGATGCAGCAGTTGGTTTGCGGTACTGAAGTCCCAGGAATAGCGTTCTGGCACGATTCAGGCTCGTCAGGACGCAACCATCAGGTTGATGCGTGGCGCTAGAATCCCTAGATCATTGTTTTGGCATGCTTCCGAATCTTCAAACGGTTATCTTCTGACGAGGCAGCTCCCTCAGTGGAAAAGGAACCGTTGTAGGAGCCTATGAAGAGGGAGCTTGGAGGGAGGGTCTATTCCAATGTAGTTGATGACTCTTGGGTTTGCACTGTTCCTCCTCCTCCTCCTCCTCCTCCTCCTCCTCCTCCTCCCCTCCCTCCTCCCTCCTCTCTCCCCGCCTCTCTCCTTCCTCCCTGCTCCCCCCCTCCCTCCCTCCCTCCCTCGTCCCCCTCCTCCTCCTCCTCCTCCTGTTCCTCCTCCTCCTCCTTCTCCTCCTCCTCCTCCTCCTCCTCCACCTCCTCCTCCTCCTCCTCCTCCTGCTCCTCCTCTCTCCTCCCTCCTCCTCCTCTCTCCTCCCTCCTCCTCCTCCACTGGGGCTACGGGCGGCTGCGGGCGCGGAGCCCACGGGCCCCGGGCCGCGGCAAGCTCGCCTGGCGAGCGCGCCGCCCTTGGAGTCGCTGGCGGGCACCCCGATCCGCCTCCCACGCTGCGCGGGTGCCGCACGGGGTGCGCGACGCCGGGGGGAGGAGCGCGGCGCTGAGAGGGAGCGACAGAGGGGGGGGGAGGAGAGGGGGTGACGAGGGAAGGAGGATCTTGGGAGAGGGAAGGGGGGGGGCGAGGGAGGAGAGGGGAACGACGGAGGACGGAGGGGGGAATGGGGAAGGGTGTGGGGGGCAACCAACCTGGAGGTCAGGGGTCACGACGCCCGTTAAACCCTCCCTGAGCGGGCGCACCCTTGGTTCCCGACACTCGGCAGAACAAGCCTCCCGAATATGGGGAATCCGAACGGAGGGTGGGACCGGCTGAGGGGGGAGCATCGAGCTTGAATCGGCGTTGCATCGCCGATGGACTTGCAATATGATGTGCCCCCCATAGCGAAACAGCACGGTCCTGGACCTGGCCATCGCTCGGACGTCCATTCCTCGTGTATTTTTCGATTTTGTGCGTGCTTTTTCGCCGAATGATCAAGGATGCTCCTCGATGGCCGTCGCCGAGAAAACAATGCACACGTCCGAGCGATGCCAGGGGACGGGCTGGGTATCAGGCCCCTAATCGGCGATCTATGGGCGACGAGGGGTCGATGCGTCCCCTGAGGCGTGGGGGGACCACGCGCCTGCCGCATGCCGACTGGCCACGGCTGGGGGAGCTGTGCTCCTGGCCTTACCGCCCTGACGGGGCATGTGGCACGCCGTGCCGAAGATCTCTCTCGAGAGAGGCGTCCAAGACGATAGTTCGACCGCTCTGACGGGGCACGTCGCACGTCGTGCCGAAGATCTCTCGAGAGAGGTGTCCAAGCTAGTTCGGCGAACGCTGAGCACGAATCGCAGATCCGTGGAGCTGGAGGCGCGCGGGCGGTAGATCCACGTCCCGAGGTGACGTGACGTGCTGAGCAGCAGCGTTTTCCGCGAAATCCAACATGCAAGATGTCCCGTGTGCTCAATCATATCGTGACACGCCATGCATATCATCGTGCACCCCGCGAAGCGAGAGGAACCCACGGATCGGGGAAAATGCCACCCCAAACATGCGGCCAAATGCCGCCTGCTATGGCGACGAGGCGCGCCGATCTTCTTCCCCTACAAGCGGGACCCGTCGCGGACCCCGCGCACCTCAAACCCGTGCGTGCGCTCCCTCGACCCTCGAGAGGGGGCGTCCAACCCTCCTGCGCGCTCCCCTGGCTGCCATGACTGCTTGCTTGCTTGCCTCCCTGCCCTCGCCCGTCAGCGAGGGATCGAGGATAAGGGTCAAACTCTAGGGTGCGTTATGTGTTGTGTCTGGGTCTCCCGGAGCCCCCATCGTCGCTCGAAAAGCTGTCCAGAAGGGCGGGCCCTGGGGCTGGACTTTGGACTCCCCTCCCTTCCTTCCATAGACATGCAACGATGGGATTGTCCAATGCTCGGCTCAAGAGGTCTCGACCCCTTCCCCAGAGGTGTTTTTTTCGTCCCGGACCCATTTTTGATGGTCCCTGGGCCGAAGAACGGCCCCCAGAGATCCAACACAATTCGTCGGAGATCTGAGTCTCCTTCCAGGTGCGCGGAAATTGAAAAGATGAAGAATCAACAACGGCATGAGCATCAACTTTCGGAGCTCCGCGCGGATTTCTTGGATCAGGGCTGGGCCCCCCATCCCGTAGGCGCGGAGCGCGCCAAGGGCGGCGCCGGAGGTGCCGCCAGCGGGGCCTGGCACAGAACCACGAAGTCCGCGCGGAGCTCCGAGCGTTTCTGTGGATGCATGTTTTTTTTTTTCCCTTCGACGCCATCCTTCTTGGACGCCATGACACTGGACACCCTAACACTCCTATCATTGAGTAAGACAAGTGTTTAAAATGTTCGAGAAGTGTTCAAAACCTATTTCTAAACATGTTTAAGACATGCTAAAACCATTTTCTAGACACCTGGGAATTATTTGGCAGCATGCTTCCTCTCCATTGCTCGTCGTCCACAGCGCTACAGAGCGGGCGCGGCCGCAAGAAACCCTCGCAAGAAACCCAACCCTGAAAACTCGCGCGCGAGGTGCACCCGAGGGGAAGCCTGGAGCACCCTGAACGCAGTAGCTTCTTCAACGGCTGCGGAAAGTCACCGCGCAGCGCGCGGAGCGAAGAAACCCAGGGTACCCTGATGAAGCGCAATGGCTCCTTGATGCGCGCCCCCACTGTATCCCTCCCTGACCCCCAGGGCCATTCTGCTCTTCTCGCGAGCTCGCCGAGAAGCAGCTTCATCTGAATCTCGGCGACGTCTCTGCCGGCAGGGAACCGGACGGCGCACGCCGCCCCCTGGCGCGCGCCCGCGCCGTGGGCGGGGGTGGGTCCAGAGACTGAGGCGGTGCAGGGGCTGCTTGGTTTAGGTCGGGCATGCCCTCCTACATTGGGCCCAACCTCTGTTCGTCTTAAACAGAGAGCAGAGGGCGCAAGAAACAACGCAAAAACCCAGTTGCACAAATCTTGACGATTCTTGCAAAAACCCAATCGGAGTCCTACAGGCGGGTTCTTGACGAAGAACCAAAAACACCCCCAAAATATGCAAAAATTGTCAAAGCATCGTCCCCCGATTGCTGGGACATTTGGGGGGGGGCAGGGGGAGGCTATGAAGGGGCAACGATAGGGGGGACTGGCAGAAAGGAGGATGCATCGACTTGGAATCGGCGATACATCGCCGATAGCTCGGCGATGGGACCCCGATGGTGAATCCGCACGTTCCTGGGCAGGCTGGGGGTATCGGGCCCCTATCGGCGATCAATGGGCGATTGGGGGTCGATGCGTCCCCCCCTATGCCTATCCCCCCCTGTTAATGCCCCTGGCCACTGAGCTGGACCAGGCTGGATCAAGCCCAATATCGAGTCCAAGATGAAGCCCCCAAATCAAACCCGATTACACGGGAACAAACGAGATTGAACAATATTAACCCCAATATTAAACCCAACATCAAATCCGATTAAACGGATTGAACCAATCCCACCGGCCTTTAGGGCGTAGGTGGTCTAGCGCGCCTCCTCTTCCGGAGCGTCCAAGATGGCCCAAGGTGGCTCCAAGAGTGCCTCGGAGAGCCCAAGATGAGCTCCACGATGGCTCAAGGTATCCCAGGATGCTTCAATATGGCTCCCAATATGCTCCAAGAGGCCCCAAGACCGCTCCAAGACGGCTCCAAGTGGCTAAAGAGCTCCCCAAGGATGTCCCGAAGATGCCCAAACCCTTCCCAAACCCGAAGAAAAAGCTCCCAGGAGCGCCCCAAGAGGTCGCCAAGAGGCGCCCAGACAGCCCCAAGAGGCGCACAAGAGGCCTCCAAGAGGCTCCCAAGAGGCCCCCAAGAAGCCTCAAGAGGATCTCCGAGGCACCCACGACCTTCAAAGAAGCCCCTGGGCTCGCCAAGATACTGCTTCTCCTCCTCCTCCTCCTCCTCCTTGTCCAATGCCTCTTTCTCCTTCTTCCTCATCGCCCTCCTCCTCCTCCTCCTCCTCCTCCTCCTCCTCCTCCTCTCTCCTCCACGATCCTCTCCCTCCTGGAGTATCGCACAGCTTTCCCCGCCCTTTGTTCTTCTGCATGCTCCCCCGCTTCCCTGATCACCTCAACTCCTCTGGGCATCGTTTCAGGTTGTGCTGGTGGGGATACTTTTTGTCAACGGCCGCGGGCGAAAACGCAACAGCGGCGTGTCAAAGTCCAGGCGGGCCGCGCGAAGTACTAATTAGACAGACAGAAGCAAACCGAGCAAACCTCTGGTGGGGATACGCAAGGCGTCAGCAATTTAGCTGCATTCTGTCAATTTGTAACCACGGATCCAGCGCCGATGCTGAATGCAACCTCCCAGGAGACTGGGACGGTGGATGGGAAGGTGCGCGAGATGGAACGGGCGGACGGTCTGGTGGGAGGGCGGATGGGGGTGGATGAGTGAGGAGTGCGGGGAGGAAAGGAGGATGAGCAGATGGGGAAGGTAATCGGGAAGGAAGAACAATCGAATGGACATTGGCAGGCTCACGGGTCCTGGCGGCGCCCCTAGGGCGCCAGGGGGGCAAAAGGCGACTCAGTTTTCCGAAACTGCTCCAGCAGTGTTCCATGAGCAGAACAGCTGCGCAGACACCAACTTTCGGAGCTCGGCGCGGATTTCTTGGATCTGCGCTGGGCCCCCCTCCCTGGCCAGCTGCGCGCGCCAGGTGCGTCGCTGGAGGCGCCGCCAGCGGGGCCCCGACGCAGATCCAAGAACTCCGCGCGGAGCTCCGACAGTCGATGGCTCTGATGTTTTTCCTCGACGTGTGCTGCAGAATGCTACAGTCAAAAACCCTAATAAGGACGCGCGGAAAGGACGCAAGACCCTTGGAAGCCAAGGTTGGGATTTTTGGGGCGGCGGACGACGAACACCTCAAGGACGCAAGAGCAAGGAAGAGCAAGGACGCAAGGGTACCCTGAGCAAAGTCGCGCGTCCTTATTAGGTTTTTGACTGTAGAACAGCGAAGTACCCCCACGCCTTGGTACTGCACCGCTCTCCACGCACAGCGCGCAATCAGCACCGCGAGCGGCCCTGCCTGGAGGGGCGCGTCCCCGAGGACCCTGGGGGGCTGGGAGGGTCAGACTCCGATGGCCCTGCCTCGGGAGGTGGCCCCTGGGAGGACGGGGATGGAGAAGCACAAGCTCTGAGAAGTGCTTGTCGCTACTCGACGAAGGGGCTACAACACAAGACGACACGGTTCTGTATACTTAGCCATAACACGAGTCTTAAGTCGGGCCTGTCCCCCTACAGGGGAATTTTCGACGACAAATAAAACAATACCCCCAACATAATCCAAACATAGTCCGGGGACTTTTTTTATTACCTTTTTGTGTATTTTTGGGGTACTCTTATTTTTTGTCGAAAATCCCCCTGTAGGGGGACAGGCCCGACTTAACACGAGTCGCACAACCCTGTGTTCTCATCACGGAGAGCGGTGCAGGCATGGCACGCGGGATGAGAAGGACAGGAGAGGAGAATGAGGCTGCGGACAAGAAGAAATTCAAGACCAGCGCAACTTCTCAAACAGGGCACTGGGCTGGAACGGGCCTCCTGGGCTGGTCGCATCGTGAATGTTGCACGTCGCGCTGCACGTCTGGTCTGTATCACGAGCGATCTAAGCAAGCAGAGCGAATCTGACCGCTAGCCCAAGCTTGCTGGCGGAGAATCTAACAAGTTACCGGGAACTCTGCACGATCTTGGTGGAACATGCAATCAAAAACTCTAATAAGGACGCGCGGTAAGGGAACGAAGACCCTTGGAAGCCAAGGTTGGGATTTTTGGGGCGGCGGACGACGAAAACCTCAAGGACGCAAGAGCAAGGACGCAAGGGTACCCTGAGCAAAGTCGCGCGCCCTTATTAGGTTTTTGACTGTATATCTTAGATTTCCAGCACTGGTGTTTCGAAACATAGGACCGGCGATTATCCTGTCTGGCTGCGTGAGCGTCGGTTAACAAACCTACGTTCACTCTATCTAGCAAGGCAGAGCCTCAAGCGCGAACGTGGGGCGCACGGGTAAGGCAACGATGCCAAAACCAATACGTGCTCACTATTGCGACAGAGTTGCGATGTACTTGCCCTGGTGCGCGCATTGCTTGCATGCGGCAGTGGTGAGTAAGCTGCGCGGGCGCAAGAGGCACACTGTGTGCGAGTGTGTGCCTGTATTGAGGCGCGCTTCTTGCGCGCAAAGGCATTGACGTCGCATGTGCTGGCGTGGTCCAGGCGCTAATGCGCATGCGAAATGTCGGGCCCGTGGCGTCGTCGTCAGCGCCGTCGGATGCGCACTCGAGAAAGTGTTCGCTCATCGGCTTGCCTGTTTCCTTTTCAACGTTTCTTGCTGTGTGCGTGTAGTCGATGCGCACGCTCTGCGCGCACGCGCGTGTTGGGTTTAGTGGTGGTTTTGGTATGGTCAGAGGATCTGAGGCGCGCAAACATGAGGCGCCGTGGCACGTGGCATGAGTCTGGGCAGTGGCTGGTGCCACATATTGCTGCCGCTCCTTAACGAGCCACACAAAATGCAAAAACGATACGTGTACCTTGTATATGAAACTGGGCACGCTGTGATGCAACGCGTTTTGGAGATGAACGCCATCTGGCTGATGAGTCCCACCAGCCCTTGAGGGCGTATGTCGTCTAGAGAGGTTCCTCTTCCGAACCCCTTCTTCCCTTCCGGGAGGGGTTTACCCCTCCCCCTACCCCCTACCATGGACCTGGACGGGGGGGCGGGGGGCGCGAGGTGTCAGAGGGTACTTGTTCGCCCAAGACGGCTCCAAGAGCGCCTCAGGGAACCCAAGACGATCTCCAAGATGGCTCAAGATAGCCTGAAATGCTTCAAGATGGTTCCCAAGATGCTCCAAAAGGCCCCAAGAACGTTCCAAGATGGCTCCAAGAGGCTTCCAAGACCTCCAAAGAGCCAATCAAGATGAGAACATGCTGCATTTTTGCTTTCTCGCACTTTCGCTTCCGATAGCCTCGCGAGGCCTCAAGATGGCTCCAAGATGGCCCAAGAGGGCCCCAAGAGAGGCCCAAGAGAGCCCAAAGACGGCCCCAAGAGCGCCCAAGAACGCTCCAAGAGCGCCCCAAGAGGGGTCCTAGAAACGATTTTGGGGGCTCCCGAAGGAGAGCGCGAATTGGGGACCCCCCGGCTAAGCCCTCCTCTGGCCCCAAAGAAGGCACAGACGGGCCCCACACAGCGACAACTGACCTCCAATATGGGGGTGAAAGGGCATCCAAGAGGGGCCCGAGAAGGGCCTAAGACATTCTACATCATAATTACCAACAGCCTCTGGTACGATGTCGTTGGCCCAGCTGGGGGCCGTCGCTCGGCCCCAAAGATGGCCCAGGACGTCCCCAGACCCCCCATCGTTGGGGGGCGCTGGTTGTGGGCCCTCTGGTGGCCCTCCTGATCATTCTCGGGGTCCCTTCCCCAACCCCATAGAGGGCACTGTAAGGCCCTAGACACCACCAGCGGAGTTTCGAAGAGGGGTCCAAAAGAGTGAGCGAGAGGGGCAGAAAAAGGCCCCCATGGATATCATACGTACCAAAAGCCCTTGGCATGATACCGTTGGGGGCCGCCTTGTGAGCACCCTTGGGGCCCCGCTGGGCCTCATTGAAGCCCTCCACTGGCTCCAAGAACGCACCAGGAGAGCCCCGCACAGCCCCAACGGAACTCCCAAGAGGGCCCCCCAAAACTGTGCCCCAGGGATATCCCTGCGAACACGTTTCGGCCCACAGTTGTCCCCGTCTCCCTGCGAGCAGACCCCTCTGCCCAGGCTTTAACATGATGTGCGGGAGCGCCGTCCCGACGCAGCCGACTTGTACGGTCGTTACTCGTACACGCGATCATGCAACGACGCCCGCGACATTGTTCGAACATCGAAAAATGTTCGAACAACAGGAACGTTGTTCGAACATTGCGTGGTTGTTAGCACTAGTACAAAAACGATATGTACAGAAATGTTCGAACACCGGAAAAACCGTTCGAACACCGGAAAATTGTTCGAACAACGGAAACGAGTGTTCGAACACCAGAAACTTGTTCGAACACCAAAAACGAGTGTTCGAACACCGGAAACGTGTTCGAACACGAAAACGATTGTTCGAACACCAGAGAAATTGTTCGAACACGAAAACATGTGTTCGAACATTGATTTTGCGATCACCTAAACAATGCACCTCGCATAAATCCAACCAGTCCCTGGGTGTGTGTGTGTGTGACGTGGTTCTGAGAGCTTCGCCTTCCAACTTCTCATGACCCCCATCTCCCGACTCTCTCCCCATGGACCCCCTGCAGTACGCTGCAGAGTTCCTCCTGCAAAGACCCTGCAAAGACCATCGCAATGACCTGCGAAAAAAACATGCAAAGACCCTGCGAAGACCCTCCAGTGAGTCCTGGGTCGAACCCCGTCGGAAAGAGTTCGGCGGGATGCTTGCTAGTACGTGCCTTCTTGGGGCCTCTTGGAAACCGATGAAGCCCCAATGAGCGCCCCAAGATGCCAGAGGAAAACCCAAAAAGGGCCCAAGAAGCACCGAATCCGTGACATGTTGCTTTACGTGTTTCGGAACGTCGTCACGCACCGAGTCCGTGACGCATCGGGCCAGAGAGCGCCCCTAAAGCTCCCAAGAGCGCCCCAAGAGGCTGCCAGAGGGTCTCCAGAGGCCTCCAAGAGGCTCCCAAGAGAACCCCTAAGAAGCCCCCAAGAAGCCACCAAGAGGCCCCCAAGAGGCTTCAAAAGGATCCCCGAGTCACCCAAGATGCCCCCCATACCCTCCAAGAGGTATCCAAAATAATTCCCAAGAGACATCCTAGGAGGCTATCACGTTCGTCATTTTTGTTATCCTTCTCCTCCTCCTCCTCCTCATCATCATCATCATCATCATCCCCCCTCCTTCTCCTCCTCCTCCTCTTCCTCCTTCTCCTCCTCCTTATCCGCCTACCCAATCCCTCCTCTCCCTCCGCCACCTCCTCAATCCTCCTGTCCTCATCATATTCATCATCCTTCTCCCTCCTCCCTCATCCATCCATCCTCCTCCTTGTCCTCCTCCTCCGTCGAACGGTTCGGCTGTCCCTCTCTTTGCTCCTACCCTTCCCTCATCACCTCAACTCGCCTAGGCGTCGCTTCTGGATGGGCTGGTGGAGATACGAGAAGCGTCAAGAATTTCCTTGATGGGCCCTCGCGCTAAATGGTCAGCCGAGAAGCAGCTCAACGGTGTGGAAATTCACTCGTCTGCTCGCGGCGGCGTCATGGTCGCCCCTCGGCGGGCACCGAAACAAACTAATGAGGATCCGGGGGAGGTGGAGAGGCGGGATACGGAGGGATGAACGAACAGGGCGAGGTGCAGGAGGGGAAAGGGGCGACACGTAGGGATAAGTACAAAGGCGCGGGTTGCATATGTCTTCCAGCGCGCGCCCCAAACAGTGAGCTAGTGCGTTCAGTATGTGCCATATACGAAGCGCACTGCAGGCGGTGCAATTTCGGCGTTGTCATCTAAGCGGTTCAACTACTGTGGTGCAACCTACGTTGTACATGTTGCACCCCCAGGTTGCACCAGAGGTTGCGGCATGGCCATAAGATGCGCCGTGGGTTGCCTCGCTGATTGCGCCATCGGCCATAGGGGTGGGCTCGGGCGCGAACGTGGCGGAACCTCGCCCGACCCATCCAGTGTGTTGTGCCGTATGCTGTGCCTTAAATTGCGCCATAGGGGCGGACTCTGGCGCGAATGAAGCGAAATCCTCTCAATCTGTTGCGCTATAAGTTCCGCCGTAAGGTCAGGGCGGGCGCGGGCGCAAACGTAGAGAAACGTCGCCCGACCCATCCAACTACTTAGCAACGAGAGTACGACCCCACTAAGTGAACGCACGGTTTGGGGGATCTGTCCCACGAGTCGGCACGCGCGCGCGAGGCGCATCTACGGCTAACGCCCTTCGCGAGGACTGGGCCGTCCAATCTGCGACATCCGCCAAACCCAATGCTTGAGCTCAAAACCCGCGGGGAACTTACGATAACTGGTTTTCCAAAGATGCGAAACACCCGTGGTGCTAGCACCCGTGATCGAGGCTCCCGGATCTAGACAACGGGCGGCTCTCCGTGCCCAGCCGCCCACATCCGCTCAGAAACCACCCCTTGGAGCCCTCCCAGGTTGCCTCCCGACCGGTCTCCCGAGGCGGATCCGGCCGTGGCGACGAGAAGCTCCAGGCAGGCCCAAACATGCCGAGACACGCCGGGGAGGGCGGCCGTTGCCTGCACTGGCCCTTCTCCGAAGGCCTGGCCCGCCCATCCGGACATGCTTCCACGGCTGGGCGCGTCTCGGAAAGCTGGTCAGCTTTGAGGAGGGGGAGGAGGAGGAGGAGGAGGAGGAGGAGGAGGAGGAGGAGGAGGAGGAGGAGGAGGAGGAGGGAGGAGGAGGGGGAGGAGGGGGAGGAGGAGAGGAGGAGGAGGAGGAGGAGGAGGGGAGAGGGGAGGGGGAGGAGGAGGAGGAGGAGGAGGAGGAGCAGGAGGAGCAGGAGGAGGAGGAGAAGGAGGAGGAGGAGGAGGAGGAGGAGGAGGAGGAGGAGGAGGAGGAGCCTTTCTTCGGCGAGCGCTTCTCCATCAACAAGGAGGCGCGATCAGCGAGACGGGGGGGGGGCCTCCCGCGCTCACGGAGCAGCATGCCCCCCCCAAAGAAGGGAGCCGCCCCCTCCTTGGCGGGAACGAAGCCGACAGGAAGGCTCGCGTCCTGGCACGACATGTCCTCCCCATCGCGGACGGGGAGCGGGGGAGTGCAGACGAGGAGCGGGCTGTTTTTCGTTTTGTTTTTCGTGTTCTCTACCTGCTTTCCTGTACCTCCCTGCCAGAACGAGAAACAAAGCACAGCCGAAATCCAGCAAAACAGCGTCAAGGTCCAGCCCTGGGGTTAGGTCGGGCACGTCCCCCTACAGGCGGAGTTTGGATGAAAAATGGAACATACTCCCAACATGCTCCCTAATTGTAAAAGACTGCGCAAAATAATCGTCCCCAGACTATTCTTGTACTATTTGGGGATATTCCTCCTGTAGAGGGACACGCCCGACTTAACCCTGGGGAAGGGTGAAGGGGGCGGTCGACCGAAGATCAGTTCGCAGCAGCCCGCCGAGCCCACGGCTGGCGTGCCGCCCAAGGGGACTGGAAGCAGCGACCGCCTCCCCCAGCAAGCTCGACCCGAACAGCTTGCCGAATCGGCACGGAATTGCCCACCCTCGAGTAATCCCTCGGAGATCAATCTCTCCAGATGCACGGTGCCCTTTAAAATGCGGATTTACTAAGCTCAGAGACGATCGCAATTCCCCTGTTTCTCTGCGTGTTCCTCTCTTTCCTCCTCCTCTTTCCTCCTCCTCCTCCTCCTCCTCCTCCTCCTCTACCCCCTGCTCCCTTGACACACAAATACCACGGGGCTGTTCTTTATCCACGTCTTCACGCCGAGTCCTCTTCTGACGGACCCGCCGCGGAGGACCTGAGGGCCCGCTTCCCTCAAAACCCCGTCTGCCTCGTGGCGAGCTCCCGCTCCTCCAATCCGCCGCTGCCCTCCCATCTCGCCGGCCAGCTCCGGAGCACCGACTCGGCAGGCGATTGCGCTTTTGGGGGGCCATCCCGCCCCTCTTAGACGAGCGCGTTCCACTACTCGCAAAGGAACTACTCGCAAATGGCCTGGATGCGCCGCGGGGGATCTACTGCAAATTCCATCGAAACGTTTGCGAGTAGGCGCTTTGCGAGTCGTGGAACGCGCCCGGTGACCTCTGGTGCCCGCCGTGCTGCACGCCGCGGCAGCGGCAGCGGTGCCCCCCCCGAAAGCGGAGTGCCGCCCATCGGGCGGGGGCCCATCGAGCGAGCGGCGGCCCTCCCTCGCGCTGCTCTTTGGAGTCCCGACACGGTGCGGTGACAGACCGTGCGGTGGCCTCGGAACCCCAAGAGACCTCACCGCACGGCCCGTCACCGCACGGTCTTGGGACCCCGGAGGCCCCTGTCGCCCGGAGACGTCCTCGGAGAACGACCCGAGTCCCAAAACCGTGATGTGACCCCGCATCCCCACCGACTCACCGAACGGTGTGGTCACCACCCTGTTTGGGGACCCCTGATGCTCGTCCCCTCCTCTGGGCCTCCCAGGAGCTCCTCGTCGCCGCAGCCAGGTCCGCTTCGCAAGACACGTCAGGAGGGCCCCGAGCAGTGAACGGATTCGGTGGCGGGAGGGCCGCCGTTGTCTTAACTGGCCCTCCTCCGAATCAAGCTAGCTTGGAATCGCAGGAAGTGGGCCCACGCAAAATGCGGACCACGATGCCGACCAGAACGAGCTGATTGCTAGCTAGCCTTGCCCCACAAACAGGCCTGCACAATTCTAGAACTGAGGAAGATCTGATAAGACACCCCCGCCATCTGCAGGTACCCTTCTTCTGTCTCTCTGCCTCCCTGTCTCTGTGTCTCAGCCTCTGTCCACGACTTCGTATACAATGCTTCAAATATTTTACATACACATAAACATGTTCTATCGATGCCGCTGTAGCTGGCGCGGCCAACGTCTCTCTCTCTCTCTCCCTCTCTCTCTCTCTCCCTCTCTCGCCATCTACGTCATTCTCTCTCTCTCTCTCTCCCTCTCCCTCTCTCGCCATCTACGTCATTTTCTCTCTCTCTCTCTCTCCCTCTCTCGCCATCTACGTCATTCTCTCTCTCTCTCTCTCCCTCTCTCTCACGCACTTCTCAGTCTCGGCTCTGGGGCCCCTGACCAAGAGCCCATCGCCGCCTGCGCCGCGCACCACCGCAGCCTCCTCCTCCTCCTCCTCCTCCTCCTCCTCCTCCTCCCCCTCCTCCTCCCCCTCCTCCTCCTCCTCCTCCTCCTCCTCCTCCTCCTCCTCCTCCGCCTCCTCCTCCTCCTCCTCCTCCTCCTCCTCCTCCTCCTCCTCCTCCTCCCCCTCCTCCTCCGCCCCCTGTCCAGATACGTTCTCGTGCGCCTTGGAGGCCTGCACCGCTGCTCTCCACAATGGTGGCGGCGCAGACCGGGCTACTGCAGCCCATGACGAGCTCGTCCAGAAACACCTGATTGACCTCGAGACTTTATACCAACAACATCGCTCCAGCTGACAATGGCTCAGGAGCAAGCTGATGACATTTTCTGTGCAGGGAACTCAAGACCAGCTGCACTAGGCTGCATGTTTACCCGTGCGCATAAAGCAGGCACCCGCCGAGACCCACCAAGGCTCATTGCCCCGGCCGTTATCCACCAGGATAACGGCACAGGTCTTCTCATCAACGTCGACGCACCAAACTGGGACGTCCCGATCGCGCCTCTGCTCACCAGGGCCGACTACGGGATCCCACACACCAATAGCATCCACCGGTGTACGCTTGAGGCAAGGACCCATCCCTTGCAACTCCATGAGCATGAAACTTCCCTTTCCATGAACCGTCCTCGGAACTAAAGACGCCACCAACCCTCGGCATGTGCAAGGGGCGCCAAGCCTTCCATCCCGTGATCCAGCTTGCGCTGCAATTATCCAGCAGAGCAGCGGCGGCCAGGGTGGAGGCCCTATGCGTGACCCACCAGGGTTGACGGCCCCAGTCGAAGTCTACCAAGACACCGACGCTGCCTCCCACACCCGTCTTGATGCTGCTAGTTGCGATGTGCCCTCCATGGGACCGACCAGGGGCGACGCTGAAGCCTCGCGTGCCAGTAGCACGAGCACCGCGTCCTCTGTCACTGCGCCAGTACATGCGCTGTACCAGTTTGGGGGCTCAGAGCTTCAGAGAGTTATGTGCCCTCATAGATTGACGCCCTGTCGACCACGTCGAATGTGATAGGTTCATGAACATTTGATCTCGCCCAGGACGAACTCAGCGGGCACGACCTGGGGTGCCCCGCCAAGCATCTGGTCGTGCAAGAGCCCGCCAGTGCCAAAACACTGACCGACAATCCTTGGGATTCCGTCGTTATCTCCTCGACAATGGCCACGGTGGGGGTGGCCACTTAGCCACTAGCCTGGGATCTGGCGCTTCAGACAGAGTCAACCTCCACAGGTGCACCGCCGTGGTGGAGTCCAGGGAGGAGCCAGCCACGGCGACACTCACGGCGCGGCAAACGCCAGTGTCAGCACCACCATCCACAACCGACGCCACCAGCCTCCGCGCCAGCGCTCACGCGAGCTGATAACTCCGATGACGACTGGGGCTCCTGGGGTTAGGTCGGGCATGTCCTCCTACAGGCGGATTTTGGACGACAAATCAAAAGCAGTCAACAAATACCCCAAAATGGTCAAACAAATGCTCAAAACATCATCCCCAGCCTAATTTTTGACCCTCTTCGAACATTCCTCCTGTAGAGGGACAGGCCCGACTTGACCCTTGGGCGAAGCGGACCTGCCGAGCAGCGTGCCCGGGCAGCTCTGTGGCCCGGCCGTCCGCGCCTCAGGACCGAGCCTGGGCCCCACGAGGCAGACGCGCGGCCCGCCAAGGCCGACGAGCTGCCCGACAGATTACAGATTACAGAAGCGACAGTGGTCCACCGTGCAAGCACACTGGCCACTAAAGAAATGAACAAGAGAAAAAGAGAGGGATATCCACCTTGGATCATCCTGCATCTCGCCACTCCTCCCGCGCCTCCGCCCATTCAGGGATTACGCGACGCGAGAGCGACCACAGCCGCTGCTTTTCTTGTGTTGCCGCCCTCCAGCCAGCAGAAACCAAGCAGTGGTTGTGGTCATTTTCGTTGCGCTTGGCACCGAAGAAGTGACCACAACCACTGCTGCTTTTTCGGCCGGCTGGAAGGCGGCGCAAACAAGAAGCAGTGGCTGTGGTCATTTTCCCGTCCCGCAGGAATGGACAGGCGCGTTCCACTACTCGCAAATCAACTACTCGCAAATTGCCCAAGTCCGCCGCGGGGGATTCACGATATAATACATAGGAGGAAGACCTGTATGTTTCGGACGTTTGCGAGTAGGCACCTTGCGAGTAGTGGAACGCGCTCGGCGAAGGAAGGCGCCGAGGCACTGGTCATCAGCCAAGTAATGAGCCCTGTGCACGGCCTACGCGGCACTGTCATCGGCCGCGCGAGGGAGCAGAACCCGTACTTTGCGCAGCACCTCCACGACCAGCTCCTTGACACTGCGCAGAGCGATGGAGTCGAGCACTGCGGCGTTGAGCAGCACGACGGGGAACAGCATCAACAACCTCGCATCCACCAACGAGGCGGCAAGCAATGCAACAAAAACACAGCGTCTTTGAGCAATGCGCCTGGCACCGGCGCCTCGACAACGAGCAGCACGACGGAGTCAAGCACCACTACCTTGAGCAGCACGTCCTGGACCAGCTCTGTGACACCGCGCAGGGCGACGGAGTCGAGCATCAAGGAAAACACAACGATATGCCCAAGACGGGATCCAACATCAGCAGCCTCACGCCTACGAGTGAGACGAGCAGAGCACCAAACATCACGTCTTGCAGCAACCCGTCTGTCACCAACATCTCGACGCTGAGCAACGCGACGGAATTGAGCACGACGGCGTTGATCAGCACAACGGGATCCAGCACCAATAGCCTCACATTGACGAGTGTGATGGGCAGTGCGATGAGCAGCGCGGCTGTGGGCATCACGTCGAAGACCTGCACCTTGGCACTGAACAATACGACTGGATGAAACATCTCGACGCTGCGCATCAAGACGGGGCCCAACACCAGCAACCGCACATCTACGAATGAGACGAATAATGCGACGATCTCTGAATAACACGTCCCAAACCAACACCGTGACACCGTGCAGCGCGACGGAATCGAGTACTACGACGTTGAGCAGCGCGACGGGACCCAGCCCCAGAAGCCTCACACCTACAAGTGAGACGAGCCGGGCATCAAACACTTCGTCTGCCATCAGCACGTGTGTGACCAGCACCTCGGCACCGAGCAAGGCGAAGGAGTCGAGCACCACGGCGTCGAGCAATACGACTGGAACCAACACCAAAGACCAAGATATACAGCCTCACATGGACGAGAGTGATGAACAGTGCAAGGAGAGCCACGTCTTCGAGCAGCAAGACAGAGATCAAGCATCACGACGTTGCACATCAAGACGAGACCAAGAACCAGGAGCCTCGCATCCACGAGAGAGACGGTCAGTGCTACGACCGCCACGCCCCTGAACAACACACTTGGGACCAGCTCCTTAGCCCCGTGCAGCACGACGAAATTGACCACTGCGACGTTGACCAACATGTCGGGACCCAGCCACAGCAGCGTCACACCTACGAGTGAGACAAACAATGCGTCGAATACTATGTTTTACAACAACACGTCCGTGACCAGCACCTCGACACTGAGCAACGCGACGGAGCTGAACACCACGACGTTGAGCAGTACGACGTGACCCATCACCAACGGGCTCAATTTCACGAGTGATACGAATCGTGTAAGGAGCACTACGTCTGTGGCCAGCACGTCAGGGACCAAAATTGTGACACTGTACAATACGATGGGACTCAGCACCACGACGTTGCGCATCAAGATGAATCCAGCACCACGAACCTCACATCTACGAGTGAGGCGACCACTGCAACGAGCATCGCGTCTTTTTGCAGCACGCTTGGGACCAGCACCTCCACATTTCGCAACAAAGCGAATCCGAACGCTTCGACGTTGAGCAACACTACGGGGTCCAGCATCAGCAGCCTCACGCCTGCGAGTGAGACGAGCAGGGTATCGAACACTACGTCTTCAGCAACACGTTTGTGACCAACACCTCGACACTAACCCACGCGAAGGAGATGTGCACAACGACGTCGAATAGCACGACGGAATCCAACATCAACGACCTTACATTGACGAGTTTGGTGGGGAATGCAACAGGCACCGCATCTTCGAGCACCACGTCAGGGGCTGGCACCCCGACACTGAGCACTACGATGGAATCAAGCATCACGACGTTGCGCATCACGACAGGACCCATCAGTGCAATGAGCACCAAGCGGCACGTCTGGGGTTCAGCGCGGTAACGCTGAACAGCACGATGGGGTCGAGCACCATAGCGTTGAGCTGCACGACGGGATCCAATACCAGATGGCTCACATCTGCGAGAAAGACGAACAATGCTACGAACACCACGTGTTTGAGCAACACGGCCAGGACCATTACTTCGACGCTGAACGGCACGGAGGGGTTGAGCAGCATGTGCACGAACAGCTCCTCGATACCGAGCGGCACGACGGCACTCAGCACAAGCAGGCTCTCACCTACGACTGACACGAGCAGTGCGACTAGTGCACCAAACACCACATCTCTTCGCAACACGTCTGATGACAGCACTGTGCTTCCGAGCAGTACGGCCGTTACCCCGTCCCACCAAGGTAAGGGGGCTCACTGCATCGACACCACCATCAAGTTGTCGGCACCAAATTGACTCCAATGCAGATTGTCGGTCGAATACGCGCTTTCACGCAACGCCCCACGATTGCCAGTCAACCGGCTGACCTCGATCGCTAGGTTGCCCTCGCCACCAGGGACACCTCTACGAATGAACCTGCCCCGCCGACCTCATTGACCCACACCGTTGCGTCATCCGAGCAAATTGACACCAATCCAGACTGTATATCCGTCGCGTGCCACCAGGTCAGCGCAGACCCTGGCGACGACCCCATCCAGGATCCCGACAACGATCACGGCACGCCCGATGATCCCATCGAGGGTCCAGACGGCGATGGAGGGTACATCCCGACGCTGCAATAGTGGGCTACCAGCCTCACCCACATCCTGCGTAGCATCCAGGAACGGTCAGGTTCCCATCTTGACATATCCCAAAGAGCACAATCAGCCTGGAACGACCTTCATCAGGCCTTCCCATCGCCTGCTCACCGTGGGGCCTCTCCCCAGCAGGCACGCCCCCAGGCGCGCCTCGACATTCGCAGCTACCTCACCAGTGCTTGCCTTTCCATGTTCCTGAGTGTGCTGCGCGAGCTGCTCGCAACTGTTCCGTAGCCTTACCGTCATCGGCCTGACCTAAGGAACGATAAAAAAGGAAAGAAGCCCCTTTTTTTTCTCCAGGGAGTAACGCATAAGGAACGATCACTAATCCATAATGTATAAGGGGACGATAAACAACGCATGCAAGCCTAAGGAACGACGGAGCCCCTTTTGAAAAGTTAGTGTTCCTTATTCAAGCCGCTCACTGTAGCACTGGGCTTCTGAGGGGGATACCCCAAAGCGGCGCCTTGGTTCACTGAGGTACCGATGCTCGCGCGCCAACGCGCGCTAGTAGCCGGTGCCTTTTGCTAACGATGTGCAGACGGGGTGTACCACTGACCGCCGTAAACCCGTCTTGTTTTCCAGCTGTGGTCTTCCATTGAACGCGCCAGGGGTGGGGTATTCTTCCACCCCTGCTCGTGTCGCGGCATCTCCCGCATTGTGAGGTTGGCCCCTGCGGCATTTACAACCTGCGGGGCCGGGACAGACAGACTTGTCTAAACTGTTGCGCTCTCTCCCGCACGCTTCCTTTTTTTTGTTCGCTCTCTCTCTCTCTCTCCCCTCCCTCCTTCCATCATTCTGCCTGCCTGCCTGCATTTTTTTTTTTTTTTTTTTTTTGTTTTTTTTTTCTCTCATTCTCTCTCTCCCTCATTTTTTTTTTTTTTTTTTTTTTTTGTTTTTGTTTTTTTTTCTCTCTCTCTCTCTCTCTCGCTCCCCTCCCTCCTTCCATCATTCTGACTGCCTGCCTGCCTCTCTGCCTTTCTCTCTCTCTCTCTCCCTCATTTTTTTTTTTTTTTTTTTCTCTATCTCTCTCTCTCTTTCTATCTGTTCCTCTCCCTCTCTCTCTCTATCTCGCTCCCTCTTTCCCTATCTCTCTTCATGCCCGTGCCATTTCTTCCGCGATCCTCTAATACGGGCCACCTTGGCTCAACAACACCCGCCCCCACGAGGACTGCAGAAGCAACAAGACCCCCCTGGGCACCTGCAGGACATCCATTTTTATGGAGTTGTCCACGTACCACTGTGCACCATCGCTGTACCGCCATTCTCGCATATCCCAGGGCATCAATCCAGAGGCAACCTTCCCCAGCCCCTGTCCTCCGAGCGAGGGGTCGAACGAACACTGAAGAACGAGGGAGGTCTGGCTGCCAACGTGGCGGTCGGCTGCCCGGGCCAGCAACAACCAGGGCAACCACGGGGCAGAGGAGGGAACAGAAGCGGGCGGAGGGGCGAGGGAGGGATGATGGCTGGCTGGGAGGGAAAGATGGGCGAATAGTAAACGACGGCTTCTTCCCGGCGCCCTGGCCAAGACCCCTAGCACCCTTGGCCGCTTTCCCCGTTCGCCAGCCGCTGCCGCACGATCACACCAAATGGAGTCAAGGCGCAACGTGCCGATACGCAAAGCAAAGCACAGACCAGTGCACATAAGTAGCGGTGGCGAGCAAAACCGTAGACGCGATAGCAGAGGCGGCGAGGCAACACGACAGAAGAACGAACCACACCACGCATGAAATGTGACAGCTGCGTGGCCCCTGAAGTGACATGGGCACCCTGCACGTGACGACAGACCCGCAGCCACGCTTGCAGGTGGGCGCGGCCTGGCGCCCTTCGACCCTCCGTCGCTCGGGTAGGGATAGAGGCAGAGAGATAGGGGTAGGGACAGAGATATGGATACGGATGGACAATCGGAGACAGCTGGAGACAATGGGAGACAATGATGAGAAAGATAGAGGTGAAGACCCGCCAGTGTGCCCTCGAGTCACGAATTGGAATGTCCTCGGGTCCATTGGTCGACCCCGTGGAGGTTCAGTCCTCAAACCTGCGTATTCTTCGAGGGGCCTGACCCGAAATTCCCAAACCTTCCGGGGCCTGGCGCGAGCGAGACTTTCTCGGAGCCAAGGGGCCTCCAGACGGTCCTTGAGGGCCCCAAGAGGCTCCCAAGACGCTCCAAGGAGGGCCTCGAATCGCCGCCTGCCAAGATGGCCCCAAGAAGCCTTCGAGACGCCCCAGGAGAGCTCCCCGAGCCTGCCCAACAGGGTCTCGGGAGGTTTTTCAACTGTTTTAGGGGCTCTCGCCTTTTCGAACTTCCGACGCCCCGAGACGGCCCCCAAGAGGGCACCAATACGACCCAAAAGGCGCCCAGGACGGCCCAATAGGCGCCCAGGACGGCCCAAAGAGGGGAAACACGAACTGACAATTCCAGCCTTCCGCCCTGAGAGGCCCCTAGGAGGCCCCTGGAGGCCCCAGGAATCCCAAATAGGGGCCAAGAGGCCCCAAGAAACCAAAATAAGCCCCAAGATACTCCGACACAACCCGAAGAGGTCAATTGGTACTTGCCTGGTGCCCCTTGAAGCATACAGACGATATGACTGGAGTGGCACTTGCTTGATGCCTATTAAAACATACAGACGGTATGACTCACGTGGTGCTTACTTGGGAACACTTGAGGCGTACAGACGATATGACTTAAGTGGAACTCGTCTGGTACCTCCTCAGGCATACAGACGCGATGGCACACGTGGTACCTGTTTGGCACCACTTGAGGCATACAAGCGATACGACTCGAATGGTACTTGCTTGGTGCCACATGACGCATACAGATAATGTATTTCAAATGGTAACTGCTTGGTGCCACTTGGGGCATCCGTGCGCTATGGTTCACGTGGTACTTGCTAGGTGCCAGTCTGGTACTACTCGAAACATGCAGTCTACATGACCCAAGTGGTACTCGCTGGAAAACAATTCATGCATGCAGGCGATGCTAATACAGTGGTACTTGCTGGGTACCACTGGAGGCATACAGGCGATATGCGTCAAGTGGCACTTGCGTGGTACCGATTGAGGAATGCATGAGACATGACCCAAATGGGTACCACGTATACAAGCGAGGAACTGCCTTGGTGCCGCTCGAGTTCTACAGACGATCTGCCTCAAGTGGTACTGCCTTGGTACCAATTGGATCATACAGACGAAACGACTAAGGCCATTGTAACTCAAGTCGTGGTGCCTGGCACCAATTGAGTCATGTATGCGATCTGCCCGAAGAGGTGCTGCCTTGGTATCTCTTGAATCGTACAAGCGATAAGAGAAATTATGGTTTGACTCACATGGTACTGCCTGGGTACCACTCGAGGCATTCAGACGACGTGCCTCAAATGGTACTGCTGTGGTGCCACTAGCATCATGCAGCCGACAAGACAAGGCAATCTGGCTGAACCGGTACTGCCCTGGTACCACTCGAGTTGTACAGACGACATGCCGCACCCACGAGGGACGCATCTCAAGAAGCCCCCGAGAGCCTTTCCAAGAACTCCCGAGAGGTATCCAGAGCGTCCTCTGGCTTCCACCTCGGGCAGGGCCGCGGCGTGGGCCGAAGCCCACTCGACCCGCCGCCCCCTTCGGTCTTGCCGACGAGGGTGCACCGCGTGCCAAGTGTCTGGCAAATGTGAAGGGGCCCCAGGACACACAAAGAAATACACACAAATAAAGAGATGCCCCACATTTTCCCATGTTCTCTGGGCTTCTGTCTTCCCCCCCACTTCCCATATTTTCCCATATTTTCATGGGAATCGAGACTTAATTGTGTCTGTGTGTTCTTTCCCCTCCTGGAAAATGCCTGGTTCTCAAAAGAACTCCACCGTGGGGTCTCGGCCCCGCCGGTGGGCCACTTGGAACGCTCTGGGCGACGCCCCATCACGTCGGCTTTTTCGCCCAAGATGGCCTCAAGATGGCCTCCAAGACGGCCAAGATGGCCTGCAAGACTGCCTTACTGGCCCCACAAGAACCAAGCGTGGCGCCCAGATGTCTTCAAGGCGGTCCGCGATGCACCCGAGACGGCCGAAGATGGTCTCAATATGATTCAAGACAGTCCGCGATGCACCCGAGACGGCCGAAGATGGTCTCAAGATGGCCCAAGCCAGCCTCAGCAACGCCCAAGAGGCCCCCAAGACGGCCCAAGAGGCCTCCAAGAGGTCCTCCAGGAAGGCCCGAAAAGGCCAACACCATTGACTTTCATCAGGCTTGTGAAGCATGTGCGGCATTAGCTTCAAAACGGTCTTCCGACGGTTCAAGACGGCCCACGAGGCCCCCAAGATTGCCCCAAGATCGGCCCAGAAGCCTCCAAGATGGCCCCAGGGAGTACGACACAAGAACCTCCCAAGGCAGCCCTGAAAGGGGTTCAATCAAGACGGCCCGAGAGGCCTCCAAGACGCCCAAGATGGCCTTCAAGACGACCCCAAAGCGCCCCAAGAGGGCCCAACGACGGCCCAGAGAGGCCCCCAAGTGGCTTCCGAATGCGCCAGATGGGTCAGGAACGCTGTCAGACGGCCAAACATGCCCCTAAGAAGCCACCAGCGGGCCCCCAAGAGGCCTCCAGAAGGCCACTAGGAAGCTTCCAGGAGGCCCCAAGAATGACCAAGGCGCTCCGAAGAGATCTCCTCATCCTTCTCCTCATCATCCTTTTTCCTCCCTCTCCTCATCTTCCTCTTCCTATATTCTGTGTTCCCCGAACGGCTTCCACAACGGCTGGGGGGAACGCACGGTCCATAGCGTGGCCAAACTTTGACCAAACGTTTGGCCACATATGCGTATCCTAAACGGCAGGGGCGGCGGTAGGCGTCTTCGATAAATATATGGATTGAAAATGGGATGCAGCGGGAGACAACTGGAAGCCACGTCACCCCGCCGATTCTGGATCCAGCAATCCACTTACCCGTTTCTGATGAAACTTCCACATAACCCTTCCAAACAAGCTGTTTCTGGAACGTACATCATCTACCTCAGGTGCCAGACATATTCAAGCGTTCTCGCCTTTTCAGGGTCCCACAGCTCCCAGACGGCTCAATAAGCCCTTAAAATTGCACCAAGAGGGCTCAAGAGCTGCGAGGGGAAACTCAAAGGAGCCTTGGGAGCCTTTCCCCGAATCCACAAGACCCTGAACATGTCCCCAGGACGTCCCTAGATGCACCCAAAACTCCACTCGACAGGCCCCGAAAAGGCACCCAAAGAGGCCTTCGAGAGGCATCCCGAGAGACCCCGAGAGACATCCAACACGCCCCTGGCCCACGAACCATGCACGGTGGCGAGATGGGCCGAAGGCCACAGGCACCACTACATTGACACTTTGCTCTGACTCCCCAGCGCAGACATGGATGAGCGACCATGGATTTGGCGCGCGGTCGCCAAACCCATGGATCGGGGGAAGAAAACCCTCCCCAAGATGCGGCCGGTGCCGCCCCGCTCGGCGGCGGAAATCCGCGATCTCCCATGGAAACGGGACCCGTCGCTCATCCACGCCCCCTCGATCCTAGGAAGAGGAGGAGGAGGAGGAGGAGGAGGAGGAGGAGGAGGAGGATGAGGAGGAGGAGGAGGAGGAGGAGGAGGAGAAGGAAGAGGAGGAGGAGGAGGAGGAGGAGAGTAGGAGTAGGAGTAGGAGTAGGAGTAGGAGTAGGAGGAGGAGGAGGAGGAGGAGGAGGAGGAGGAGGAGGAGGAGGAGGAAGGGCCATCGGGGGCCCGAACCGCGGCTCCCCCTCCCCCGCGGAGGGCCGCCGCGCGGGCCGGCCCCAGGCGCGTGCGTTCGCAGGACCTGCCGACCGCGCCGCGATGGAGCCTCGTCATGTGGCACGGCCCTGGCAGGACGCTCATGGTGCCTCGCTAGGCACGCAGAGCGTGGAGCCTGTGCAGCAGCAGCAGCAACAGCAGACGAACCCCTGGGCTCAACAGGTCCGCCTCGCGCGGAAAGCGCGCCAGGTGGCGGCGCAGCGTGCATCGATCCATCAATTGCAGTCTCAACGTCAACTCATCTCCGATCTGCAGTGCCAATTGCGAGCGTGGCACCAGTGGTGGCAACAAGCGCATCATGAGCCTTTTTGGGGACAGCGCTGGATGCCAGACGACATCAGCTACAGCGCCGAAGCGGACGACCCCCGCGGGAAAGGGGGGCGTCGCCCCAGGCAGCTGGCGGAAGCAACGGCAGTGGCAGCAGCGGTCAAGAATCAAGAAACAATGGCAGGAGACGGCAGTGGCAGCAGCAGTCCAGAGTCAAGAATCAAGGAAGCAACGGCAGTGGCAGCAGCGGTCAAGAGTCAAGAGTCCCAGTGGACTCAGCCATGTGCGAGACGAAGGAAGGCGAAGATAGGGCCCGACGCGATCATCTACGGTTCAAGGATCAGGGCAAGCTTGAGGCGACCTCGGGAATTGGCGCTAGGAAGGGAGTACAGTCGTCATCAGCTGCAGGCGCGGCCGCCCGTGCGCGTGATGTGGCGCCAGCACCAGCGCGAGCGAAGCTGGAGGGCGATGACACAGGCCATCTGGAGGACAGAGCCCAGACGCCACTGCAAACACATCATTGTGAGAAGCAGGCGGCGAGGATGGAGCCCCTCACCAATAACCTAGCCGAGGACCCAGCCAACACGTGCGAGACGAAGGAAGGCGAAGATAGAGCCCGATGTGATCATCTACGATTCAGGGGTCAGGGCAAATGTGAAGCGAGGGGCACGGCAGCGGCAGCGGGCAAGAGCGGCAACATCACTACGCCATCAGTTACAGGCGCTGTGCGAGAAGAGACGGCAGTGGAAGCGGACTTGCTTCGGGCCGTGCGAGAGCACACCATATCAATACCCATCGAGGGCTATGATGTCAACTTCCCTTGGGAGCACTATATCAGCGGCGACGTGCAAGAACATACAGGGGTGACCCTGCAGCTGAACAGTTACCCGTGCGTAGGTTGCGGGCTGGTCATCGCAGCGACGGCTGGGACAAGCAACGCGGACTTCGAAAGGGCCCTAGAGATGTGCCACGACCTCGTCGACCGCACCTACCAGGAGGCCGCCGGTTGGGCCGGCATCGTTTGGGACGATGAGTGCAAGAGCGACCCTGAGGACAGCGGCCCAGCGAGCAAAAACGACACAGAGAACCACACAGCCAACAGCGAGTACGACGGCGAGACCACGTACACGGAGTACGACGACACCCCTGCAGGGCGAGGGGGTAGGCCCTACGGCGACACCCCTGCAGGGCGAGGGGTTAGGCCCTACTCCGGAGGCCGCGGCCACCCTGGCAGGGCGAGGGGGTAGGCCCATGGTCGCCGCTCTCGCCTTCGGCACCTTCGGCTGGAGGCGCGTAGGCGCCACCCCTGCAGGGCGAGGGAGGCCCAGGCGCGGCGTTCGGCGACTTCGGCAACCACAGGGAGTACTTCGCCCCCTCGTGTGGTGAGCGTGCCGCCCTCCTCAGGCGGAGGAGGCTGGCGGCCACCGAGGGGGGCATGAACTTCGTGTTCGGCCACCACAGGGAGTGCTTCTGCCGAGAGGGGGGGAGGAGGTGGACCCCCCCTCGACGGCTACATCCTTTCCGGAGGATTCAGAGCCGCTATCTGAAGGATCTCAAGGAGGAGGAGGAGGAGGAGGAGGAGGATGCTTGCGATCGCGCCGCTCAGGGATCGGATGGATCCGCCGCGGTCTCGCGGTGCTCCCGCCCTGCAGGCGCCTCGCGGGCGGCCCTCGTGGGCGCCGGGCGGCTCCGCCGCGGCTCCTCGCCACGCGGCCGCCCGGTGGGCGCCCCTCGGTGGGCGGCCCGTGGTGCGCACGGCTCGCGCAGCACGGCCTGCACCGCGCAGCTCGCAGCACGCGGCTGTCGCCACGCACTCAGCTCACACCACGTCCTGGCCATCGCTCGGACGTCCATTCCCTGTGTTTTTTGTCGGTTTCGTGCGCGGCTTTTTCGCCAAATGATCAAGGATGCTCCTCGATGGTCCTCGCCGAAGGAAGAATGCACACGTCCGAGTGATGCCAAGCGTCTATTCCACAGCGCAGCTCGCACCACGCGGCTCACACCACACAGCTTAAACACCGCACAGCCTGCACCAGCACAAGGAACAACCAACCTACGCCCCGCAGCTTCCGCAACACGACTTGTACGCCATAACTCACACCGCAATTCTCACACATCGTGGCCTATACCACCCAATATGCACACCATGCCTGGCACCTCCACGGTGCAATAACCCACTGTTTGGAGCCCACGCTGGCAAAAGATGTGCTTCGCTTTTGACGGCGCTCGGGAACCGTGTCCCACTTTACCCGACCCCGAGCTCCGACCTTCACCGCGAGCTCGACGTCACGAGGCGTCTCGGGCCCAGAAACCAACGCAACAAGACACACACAAACCTCATCACTACCCCGACCGCAACTGAGCATGGGGGAAACGGGTCCTGGAGGAATGAAGGGGCCCTGGGACACAGATAAATAGACACAACTGACAGGACTCCCAATCTTTTCCTGTATTTTCTGGGGTTTCGTCTTCCCCCCGGTTTCGCATATTTTCCTATATTTTCCTGGGAATCGACGATCTGTGTGTTTTTTCCCCTCCTGACGGGAACGGGTCCTGGACCCTGGGCCTTCCCCCGGACGAGCTCTTCATCCCGATATCGTCTTCTGACGGCCCCGGGGGCCCGCGGAGGACCACGAGCGCTCAAAAACAAAAAAAAAAAGAGAGGAAATCCCGTTTCCCTCAAGACCCGCTCCCCTCGCTTGCCCTCGCTGGGACGTCGTTTCCGTCTAGACTCGCTTCCATCGCTTGCCCTCCCTCAAGACCCGCTCCCTCACTTGCCCTCACTTGCCCTCGCTCACTTGCCCTCCCTTCCGTGTATTCATCTACTTCGCGTGCGTTTCGTATCCGAAAAGAATCCAAGATGCACCCCAGTGGTCCTCGCCGAAGAAAAAAACACACGTCCGCGCGATGCCAAGCTCATGGCGAGCAACCAACGGACACGACTACGTACCACCACGCGGAACCCGCCAACAAAAACATCGGGTCACTTGCTCTGCCACGGCCCGGTGGCCGGCCGTCCTCTCCCTGCGCCGTCCTCCTCTGCTCCATGAGCCCCCGTTCCGTTCGCTTTCCCCCCACCCCCTTCTCTCGGGGGTGGGCAGACGCCCCTTTCCCGTTCCGCTTTGTCCGCTCGCTGTTCCCTCACCTCCCTTCTCTCGGGGGGCGGGGCGAAGCCCTTTTCGCAAAACACTCTTCAATGAGAACGACCCCGGACTGGATCTGGCGTGCACAGGACCGCAACAATGGCGACCGCAGGACCCTCTCGATGACCGCAGACGGCCAATGCAACAATCGACGTGGCAGGATGGGGGTGCTGTCTTCGCCCCCTCCCTAAGGATACCCCCGGGAATCCTTCAGGGACCCCGAAGGGCCTCCTCAAGGAGTCCTTGAGGACCCCCTCAGGAATTCCTCAGGAATCCCCCATGGATCCTCGAAGAAGAGGGTGAGAGAGGGTAAAGAGCAGAGGGCGAGAAAGGGTTCAGGTAACAGAGGGCGTTGCAACGGGTGCAAGCAGGTAGGCTTGAGACCCCCAAGCTGACACCCCGCCCCCAAAAAACGCTGGTACAACAACGCCTTTCTTCACCTCCCTTGTATCTTCCCCCCGTCACCTTCCGGATGATAGTGATGGCCGTTGCGGTGGCCTGCAATTGTGGTGGTGGTGGTGGTGGTGGTGGTGGTGGTGGTGGTAGCGTTTGTGGTTTCCCCCCGTCACTTTCCGGAGGATTGTGGTGGCCGTTGCGGTGGCTTGCATTTGCGGTAGCGGTGGTGGTGTTGGTATCGACTCTGCTTTTGGCAATGGCGTCCCTCTTTGCCCCCCTTCCTCTCCCACCTTTTGGGGAGGAACTACCGCGCGACTTCTGATCTCCCTGCAGGAAGGAGAGTAGGAGCAGGCGGAGGTGGAGGACGGCTAGAAGCACAGCTCTTTCGCACTGCCCCCCTCCGAGGGCACGCCCCGCCCCGCCTTGGTCGCCACAATGCGCCCCTTGTTGCACTTGAAATTCTCGATTTTGCAAGCCTCGCCGCCTATGCCCCAGAAGTCATTGGGCGAGTTGTACAGCCACCAGTCCTCGCAGCTGTGGGGCTGCTTGCGATATAGCAAGAAGGCGCGGTAGGAGCGTGCTGAGGAGCTGCGTACGTAGAGTGTGCATGTCATTGTACACCGTGCACTCGGCACGCTGGGGATGTCTTAACGTATGTTAGTCTTCTGGCAAGGCTGCTGGATCTGCCCCTGGGCGACAACGCTCTCGTCGCAAGGGCCTTCGAAACCCGCTCTCCTCGCAGAGCGCACCTTTGCATTCGCGGCCATAACAGGCGTTATGGGCGGGGAGGAGGGGGGGGGGGGACGGGAAGGGGGCACAACATGGCGCCCCCCCCCCCCAGACTGCGGTGCCGCACGCACTGCGGCAGTGCCGGGGAGCGTGACGTCATTGGGGGGGAGGGGGGGGAGGGAGGTTAAGGGGCCCAACGCGCGTTATGGCCCAGAGGGTAACACAAAAACGCTCTCTCAGCAGGCTGGTGCCGCCCCAAAGGGCGACGGGCGGCGCCTGGGCGCAGACCTGGTGAAACCCAGCCAAGACGCGACGCGGCGGCGACCCGCGGAGACCGGGCGAAAGCCCGATAGAACCCACCCGGCTTCAGCCGAAACCAGGGCGAAGATCATCGGGTGAGGATGAATCGGGGATCTGTGAGATCCGGCGGCTCTGGAGGATGTCTCGGGCGCCGCGGCCTTCTCGGAGCGTTCTGGAACGCTCCGAGAACGCTCCAGGACGCTCCGGAACAGATGTAGCCTCGTCCCAGCCCCGTCCGAGGAGACCCCACCCGGTTACTCATCAAACGAAACAAGATCCTCTGAGGGCAGGCGCGCGTAAGGGAACGTTACTGCGCAAACCAAGACCACGCTTTCTCCTGTCGTGTCATTCCGGGCGGGACCGCACGATTCGGCCAGACCAGGCAAGATGCTGTGGCAACTCAGAAAGGGGGCCTCCCATCTTGTTGGCTCTTGCGGATCGACGCTAATCGACGCTATCTCATCGGTTACCAAACGCTACGCGACGCCAATGCACGACGCTGAGGACGGAAATGCGAAGACATAAAGACTCCCATGACTTGCTACCGAAGGCAAGACCACTCACGAACAGCCCAACCTCAGACTGGGAAACGCCTGAGCACGGCATACTAGGGGACGTCTACCCGTGTCCGCAGGCCTGTCTCTCGTGGGGCACAAGGGAGCTCACAGCTGGAACAGGCATTGCGGAACAATAGCCAGGAGGGGAGCACGTTGGCAGTAGGGAAATTGATACAAAAATGGCACAGGACCATGGAGCCTTCGACATCCGCGGGGGGCGGATGCTGATGAGGACGAACACGAACAGAGGGAGGATCTGGAGGATAAGGAGAATAATGCACCGCACGATTAACAACACCCTTTCAGATTGCCGACTTTGCACACCCAAATGCACCCAATCAAATGAGGGCACGTCCCGCATCAGAGAAGATCGCAAAGACCGTCAGAGCACACGACACAGGCTACGCCCAACCATGTCGGATTTGGCCGCACGCGCCCCAGAGGCACAAGACCGCTCCAAGCAAGGCCAATGAGCGTGAGATCGCGAAACAAATGAGCGAGACACCCGTGGCTGGATTGTCCTGGTGGGGACCCGCGAAGCGTTTAGAATTTGGATTTGGAGGCTTCTCAAATCGTCCCCATGCAAGTGAGGAGACCCTCGGGGTCCTCCTCCCCCTCCCCTCCCCTCTCCCACGCCGGTCCTCCTCAGGGGGGGGGGCCCAGGGGGGAGTCTTTGTCCTCCTCGTTCTCCTGCTCCTCCTCCTCCTCCTCCTCCTCCTCCTTATCTCCGCCTCCTCCTCCTCCTCCTCCTCCTCCCCCTCCTGGTCGTCGTCGATGTCTTTCAGGGTCGGCGGCACTGGCCGTCAGGCCTTAACAATCGTCCCCCATACAGGTGAGGAAGATCATTGCGGGTTACGTGGCAAACCATCCCAAAGCCGCTCGACTGGTCATGCTCGGACGGCCGCTCGTCGTGTGAGGAGGAGGGGGAGGATGAGGATGAAGAACGAGGAATGATGATGATGAAGATGACGATGAAGATGAAGATGAAGATGAATGATGATGATGATGATGATGATGATGATGATGATGATGATGATGATGATGATGATGATGATGATGATGATGATGATGATGATGATGATGATGATGATGATGATGATGATGATGATGATGATGATGATGATGATGATGATGATGATGATGATGATGATGAGATGATGAGGAGGAGGAGGAGGAGGAGGAGGAGGAGGAGGAGGAGGAGGAGGAGGAGGAGGAGGAGGAGGAGGAGGAGGAGGAGGAGGAGGAGGAGGAGGAGGAGGAGGAGGAGGAGGAGGAGGAGGAGGAGGAGCCGTAGCAGCAACAGCAGCAGCAGGAGGAGGAGGAGGAGGAGGAGGAGGAGGAAGAGGAGAGACGACTCCAGCCGCGGCCCGCGCAGGCAAGCGCTCGCTTCTTGCCGTCGGGCAGTGGCCAGTCCTGGCTGCTGCAGCCCGACTCGACAACAGTGTGCCTGGCTCTCCATCGACGATTCCGAAGGGTGCGGTTTGCAAAGGGTGTGGTTTGCAACCGGCACCTTGGGGGGCACCCTGGGGCGCTGGCGAGGACCTCGACAGAGCTCTCCGCCGCGTCCCGAGTCGGCCCGACGAGGACCGTGTCGTGCTCCCTAAGCCACAGCGGTGCCGATCGCAAACGACACCCCAGCGTAACCGTACCCGTTGTAGTCGCCGACTGCAGTCCAACTTCGACCGCACGCATGACAAGTGATACCACGCCTCTCACTACCCGAACGCCGCCAAGGAAACCGTTGCAACCCACCTGCGTGCGACCCCCGTGCTCGCAGGGAACGCCGCCTGAGCCAAACGACTCCCAAGCATTTGTTCAAGCATTTCGTCCAGGGCGCCGTGGCCAAGACGACCAGCCGACCAAAGACAAGGTCTCCCACCGCAAGTGTATGTGGGCCAAAGTGTGACAGCGCCGAGTCGTGAACTCGGACCGAATCGGAAGGTGTGTCGGGTCGGGCCGCACTGGCCCGACCCGACACCGCACCGTTTGGGGGCCCCCTGGCGCGGCCCGCCGCGGCGCCGACGAGGCGCGACCCCGAGCGCTCGCCGATGCTCGGCGCGGTGCCCCGATGCGATGGTGACTGATCCTGACAGGCGGGCGAGGCCGACGAGGCGGAAGGCTCGCGGCCGAGGACTGAGGAACAGCAGAGTAGGGCGTCGCGTCATGGGGGGGGCCCCCAAACGGTGCGGTGATGATCGACTCGGATCGGATGCGTCAATCCCACCAGCCCTCTGGGCGTAGGTGGTCTAGAGCAGATCCTCTTCCACCCCTCCCTCTTCCCCCTTGGGGAGGGGTTTACCCCTCCCCCTACCCCCTCCCCTGGACCTGGACGGGGGGGGCCGCGGGTAGTTAGAGCGTCCAAGATGGCCCAAGACGGCTCCAAGAGCGCCTCAGAGAACCCAAGATGAGCTCCAAGATGGCTCAAGATAGCGCAAGATCGCTCACGATGGCTCCTAAGATGGTTCCAAGAAGCCCAAAGACGGCCCCAAGATAACTCCAAGTGGCCAAACAGCTCCCCAAGGAGGCCCCGAAGAGGCCAAAATCGTCCCAAAACCTAAGGAAAATCAATGATTTTTGCTTTCTCGCCTTTTCGCTTCCGATGGCCATCCGAGGCCTGGAGATGGCTCCAAGATGGCCCAAGAGGGCCCCAAGAGAGCCCCAAAAGAGCCCCAAGACGGCCCCAAGAGCGCCCAAGAGCACTCCAAGAGCGTTCCAAGAGGGGTCCAAGAGGCGATTTTAGGGGCTTCCGAGGGGGGGCGCTAATTAAACCCCCCCTCTTGTTTGATCGACTCCCTCCAAGATGGCCCCAAAAGCGCCCCGAAGGCTCCCCAGAGCGCCTCAAGAGGGTCCCAAGAGGCGCCCAAGATGCCCCAAGGCGCCCAAAAAGCCCTCCAAGAGGCCCTCAAAAGACCCCCAAGAAGCTCCTTCCCCTCCTCCTCCTCCTCCTCCGATTCTTCCTCCTTCTCCGTCCTCCTCCTCCTCCTCCTCCTCCTCCTCTTCCCCCTCCTCCTCCTCCTCCTCCTCCGACGACGACGACGACGACGACGACTCCTCTTCCATCCTCCCCCTCTCGGGGTCTGTGACAGCTTCCCCCGCCCTTTGTTATTCTGCATGCTCCCCGACTTCCCTGATCACCTCAACTCCCCTGAGCATCGTTTCTGGATGGGCTGGTGGGGATACGCGAAGCGTCAACAATATTCACAACAACGCCATGCGAACATCGGGACGCACCGGATCGTCAGAACATCGGAAGCGAATCGGATCGGGCCGGTCAACATCGACATCGGATCGATCGGATCGAAATGGGCCGCACGGGGGAGGAGGAGGAGGAGGAGGAGGAGGAGGAGGAGGAGGAGGAGGAGGAGAACGATAATGATGAGGGAGACGAGGCTGATGATGAGCAAGACGCCCGCGCGTCCTTCCCCTCGTGCTTCCACACTGGGTATCCGTTCGGAGACTGGGCCGACTCCAGCACGTATATCCCCTGGTGCTGCCAGCCAGCGGGGGAAGAGAGAGCGCGGGCGAGGATGATGACGGTGCACATCGGCGCATCGGCAGGGCGTGGGTGATGATGAGAAGGATGGGTGAGGACGAAGAGGTGAGCGAAGATGAGGAGGACGCGGAGGGAGCTGCCAGCCCCCAGAGGTTTGGGTGCTGCCTGGGACCTCTGAATCCCACAAGCCCATTGGGCTAAGGTGGTTTCACAACTTCTTTCGTCCCTCTTCCAAAAACCCTCATCTTTGCGGGGAGGGGTATCATCCCCCTCCCCTCCCTGAGGTTTTTTGTTGGGGGGCCGCGAGGTGCCAGAGTTTTTTGTCGCCCAAAATGGCTCCACGAAGGCCGTCCATGGTTCGCCCAAGATAACCGGCGATGGTTCAAGATAGCTTCTGACATACAGGGCAGTTTTTAATACATGGGATTTTTAAACATAGACGATTTTTTAATACATGATTAATTTATGAACAAATTAATGCATGAACTCATCGTTGTTATTAATGCTAAATCCCTGCATTTTTAATACATGATCCGCACGCGGAGCATGTACTAAAAACGGCACTGCACATCCAAGACGCCCGACGAGGACCATCAGACGATTCCAAGTGCTCTCGGAGCCCCCGCAGGACCCCCGCAAGATGCCAGAAGCCTTCAACCACCTAACGAACCTCACTGATCTTGGACGTCTTGCCTTGACGCTTCCGATGCGCTCTGGGGGCCTCAAGGTGGCCCCAAGCTGGCCCAGGAGAGGCTCAAGAGGGAGCCAAGATGCGATTTTGATGGCCCCAGGGAGGGGCACAACTCGAGGACCCCCCCCCTTGATCGAGGGCCTCCAAGATGGCCCTATGAGGCCCTCCAGGGCTCCCAAGGGACCCTCAAGAGGGCTCCATGAGGGTCCCAAGAGGGTCCCAGGACCCTCCAAAAGAGCCCCCAACGGACCCCAAGATCCCCCCAAAGGCATCAAAAGGGTTCCAAGAGGCGATTTTGAGGGCTCTGTCCTCGTCCTCGTTGTCCTCCTCCTCCTCCTCCTCGTCCTTGCCCTCATCGTCTTCCCTTTCCTGTTCCTCCTCCTCCTCATCGTGGTCGTCGCTGTCGTCGTCTTCTTCCTCCTCCTCCTCCTTCTCCTCCTCCTCCTCCCTCCGTCGCCCCCATGCGGGCCCCAGAGATGGCCCGACGAGGCCCTCCAAGGCCACTCCGTTGCTCCCAAACACCTCTCTGTTCACCCTGGTTATCCGCTTTGTTTCACTACATGTGTCCCTTCGTCCCTTTTCTCGTCAACGCTCATGGTCAGGAGTTCTGAATCGACTGGTGGGGGTACGCGAAGCGCGAATGAATGCTCTAAGTTTTTGGACACCTGAGACTATGGAGAATAACACAATCCCCCCCCTCAAACTGTGCTGGACATGCTCGTACAACTTGCGACCCCTTGGAGAAGAGCAGGAGGAAACATAATGCAGAAGGAAGACAAAACGCGATAACGTATTCCAGTAACGGCATAAACATACTTTCTCGGTGGGCGGATCGCACCAAGGGCGGCGCAGGAAATCCGGCGTCGAGCCAAGAGATCTGCGCGGACCTCCGACAGTTTATGTACATGGCATGCTTTATTTGTCGACTTACTTCAGCATCACATCCCTCTTTCTGACAAGTGAGCAACACGCACCCACAACCATAGGGAGGGCAAAGGAGGCTATGGGTGCGTATTGTCGGATGGGGGTCCCTGTCCGAACGGGAGCTTCCCCCAAGGTCGGGCAACCCGCACCCATACCGTAGCCAGTCCTACTCCCTACGGCCCAGAGGCCCGGACCAGGCCGCTCCCCAGCAGTGCGCAGGGCACAGGGCAAGCGTCCGTCCCCGTCGTCTCGCCTCCTCGTTGTCCTCCTCCTGCTCAGCCGCCTCCTCCTCCTCCTCCTCCGCCTCCGCCACCTCCTCCTCCTCCTCCTCCTCTTCCTCCTCCTCCTCCTCTCTGCACTGCGACGTGGCCTGGCAACGGGAAGGCAGCCAAAAACTGCCAGGAGAAGCCTGTTCCCCCCCGGTCTGTGTCACGGGCTGCGGCTCGCAGGCTGGGGGGTTGTTTCAAGCGAGCTCAAGACCTCGGGCCGGATTGGGCCGTCCAGGAGAAGGAGGAGGAGGAGGAGGAGGAGGAGGAGGAGGAGGAGGAGAAGGAAAAGGAGGAGGAGGAGGAGCAGGAGGAGGAGGAGGAGGTCACTCTCGAAGACAGCGCGGTTTGGGAACGAGCTGGGGCGCTTCCTGTGGACCGCGCCTTGGCAGCTGACACGGCCGGCTGTGCGGTTCCACCGCCTGTCGCGCTGCCGCGGGGCACAAGAACAGGGGGGCCAAGGGACGCAAAGAAATACTATTACGAAAGCTAGCAATCATAATAATACCAACAATGCCATTATATTGGTTATTATTGTTGATATTATAATTATTGATATTATGATTATTACCATTATTATCATTATTATTATTATCATCATTATTCGCATTATATTATTATAATAACTAATAATAATGATCATCATCACCATCACCATCACCATCACCATCACCATCACCATCATCATCATCAGCATCATCATCATCAACATCATCATCATCATCATAATCATCATCATCATCATCACCACCACCACCACCACCACCACCACCACCACCACCACCATCATCATCATCATCATCATCATCATCATCATCATCATCATCATACTAATAGAAATAAGAATCCGCCGGCCCCGTCTGGGGGCGCAAGGCCGCGAAGTTGTGTGCGGTCTGCTGTCATGCGTTATGTGTTGTCATTTGTTGCTTGGCCTTTTGTCGCTCCAGTTCTGTTTCCTGCCTCCTGTTTACTATCTGCTAGGGGGCCCCGCCGCGTATCCAAACAGCCAACGGAAGGGTGAACCTCAAATCCTGGCTGCTCTGGGCCACCCCAGGATTCTCATGGTGACGCCACCGCGCGGCCAGAACGGCCCGAGAGGCCTCCAAGATTGCCCGAAGAGGCTCCGAAGAGAGCCTCAGGAGCCCAAGACGGCCCAAGATGGCCGCAAGATTGGCCGCAAGATGTCCCATGATGGCCCCAAGACGGCCCAAGATGCTTGCAAGACGGCCCAAGAGGCCTCCAGGAGGACTTCCAAGAGGACCCCACGAAGCAAAAATCAACGATCTGCCTAACGTTTTTGAAGGTTTTTGGCCTTCTCGCCTTTTCGGCTTTCCGACGCTCCGAGACGGGCCAAGAGGTTCCCAAAATCGCCCCATGACGGCCCTAGAAGCTCCCAAAACGGCCCCAAGACGGCCGAAGAGGGCCCAAAGACGGTCCAAGAGGCGCCCCACACGGCCCAAAAGGGCCCTGAGACGGTCTAGAGGGAGTCCACGAACCGAAAACTCGACCTTTCCGCCCCGAGAGGGCCCCAAGAGGCCCCCAAGAAAGTCCCCAAGAGGCCCCAAGAGGCCCCCAAGAGGCCCCCAAGGGGACCCGCAGAGGCTCCAAAACGGCTTCCAAGAAACTCCAACAATGACCCGCAGACGCTGCCGGGAAGCCTGCGGGCCGGCAGCAGAGGGCGAAACCCTTACGATCATAATGATGATATGCGCCGGCCCCCCCCCCGCTTCAAGGTCAGGAACGCCACGGGGACGACCCAAGAGCGCCCCGAGCGGGTCCTAGAGCGTTCCGAGCAGTCCAAGAGAGCCCCCAGACGGTTCCAGATCGCTCCAAGACGCCAAAGATGGCCTCCAGAGGGCCCAAGACGCTTCCAAGACGCCCCAAGAGGCCTCCAATAGCACCCCCAAGAGAGCCCCAACATGCAAAAAACATTGATTTTTCAGAAGGGTTTTCGCGTTCTCGCCATTTTGGCTTACCCACGCTCCAAGACGGCCCAAGACGCCATCGCCCCAAGACGGCCCAAGAGGCCCCCAAGGGGGCTCCAAAACGGCCCAGGAGGGCACCAAGATGGTGCCCAAGAGGCATCCGGGACGGCCCACGAGGGCCCCAGGACGGCTCAATGAGGGGGCCCAGATGGGGAACCCGAACGGACATTTCGAGCTTTCGGTCCCAAGAGGCCCCCAGGAGGACCTAAGAGGCCCCCAGGAGGCTCCCAAGAGGCCCCAAGATGCCCCCAAGAGCCCCAAGAGGCTCCCAAGAAGCCCCCAGGAGGCCCCCAAGAGGCTCCTAAACTCCCCCGCAGAGGCCCCCAAGAGCCCTCTCGAGAGACCCCAAGAAGCGTCCATGAGGACTCCGACCCAACACCCAAGCACGGTCGCGGGATGGGCCGACGGCCACTTGATAGCTGCCATACGCGCCGCGTCACGACTTTCGATGCTGCGCACCACTTCGGCAAACTCCCAGGGAGCGGCCGGTGATGCGCCGCCGGCGTCCTCGAGCAGAATGCTGAGATACGACAGCAGCAATAGCAATGCTAGCAACACATAAGACTATCAAACATACAAATCCGAATTGTGATTAGTGGTAATGATAGAAAAAGAATTATCCCGGCAAAGCAACCTAACAGCGATGTGTAGAAGCATCTATGGAAGCATTCCCCTTGAGATTCAGATGAGAATCCAGTTGTAGAGTTCTGCTGTTCTCGCAGTCGCAGTCGCATTCGCGATGACAGTCGCAGTGCAGTCGCAGTCAGCAGTGCCTCAGCAGCCGCCTCAGCCTCAGCCTCAGCCTCAGCCTCAGCCTCAGCCTCAGCCTGCCTTCAGCCTCAGCCTCTGTGCCTCAGCCTGCCTCAGCCTCAGCCTGCCTCAGTATCAGCCTGCTTCAGCCTCAGCCTCAGCCTGCCTCAGCCTCAGCCTCAGCCTGCTTCAGCCTCAGCCTCAGCCTGCCTTCAGCCTCGGCCTCAGCCTCAGCCTGCCTCAGCCTCAGCCTGCATCAGCCTCAGCCTCAGCCTCACCCTGCCTCAGCATCAGCCTGCCTCAGCGTCTGCCTCAGCCTGCCTCAGCCTCAGCCTCAGCCTCACCCTCACCCTCAGCCTCAGCCTCAGCCTGCCTCAGCCTCAGCCTGCCTCAGCATCAGCCTGCCTCAGTCTCAGCCTCAGCCTGCCTCAGCCTCAGCCTGCTTCAGCCTCAGCCTCAGTCTGCCTTCAGCCTCCTCAGCCTCAGCCTGCCTCAGCCTCAGCCTGCATCAGCCTCAGCCTCAGCCTCAGCCTGCCTCAGCATCAGCCTCATGCCTCAGCCTCAGCCTCAGCCTGCCTCAGCCTCAGCCTCAGCCTGCTTCAGCCTCAGCCTCAGTCTGCCTTCAGCCTCAGCCTCAGCCTCAGCCTGCCTCAGCCTCAGCCTGCCTCAGCCTCAGCCTCAGCCTCAGCCTGCTCAGCCTCAGCCTCAGCCTGCCTTCAGCCTCGGCCTCAGCCTCAGCCTGCCTCAGCCTCAGCCTGCAGCCTCAGCCTCAGCCTCAGCCTCAGCCTGCCTCAGCATCAGCCTGCCTCAGCCTCAGCCTCAGCCTGCCTCAGCCTCAGCCTCAGCCTGCTCAGCCTCAGCCTCAGCCTCAGCCTCAGCCTCAGCCTCAGCCTCAGCCTCAGCCTGCCTCAGCCTCAGCCTCAGCCTCAGCATCACCATTCTCAGCCTGTGCCTCAGCATCAAAATGTGGCCCGGGAATGGAGTTCTGGGAACTCGAAGAGCACGAAGTGGCCTACATTGGGCATTCAAAATGTGGCCCGGGAATGGAGCTCTGGGAAGTCGAAGAGCACGAAGTGGCCTACAGTTGGCTCCGGGCATTCAAAATGTGGCCCGGGAATGGAGTTCTGGGCACTCGAAGAGCACGAAGTGGCCTACAGTTGGCTCCGGGCATTCAAAATGTGGCCCGGGAATGGAGTTCTGGGAACTCGAAGAGCACGAAGTGGCCTACAGTTGGCTCCGGGCATTCAAAATGTGGCCCGGGAATGGAGTTCTGGGAAGTCGAAGACCACGAAGTGGCCTACAGTTGGCTCCGGGCATTCAAAATGTGGCCCGGGAATGGCGTTCTGGGAGGTCAAGGAGCACCAAGTGTGTGACTGTTGCATCCGGTTATTCAGAATGTGGCCTGGGAATGGGGTTCTGAGAGGTCGACGAGCACGAAGTGTGTGACTGTTGGTGAAAAACGAGCCCGGCACAGGCCCGGCCGGCAACTCCCAACGCCTGCCCGGACCCCCCTGTGGAGTGATCTGTGAGCTCTTTTGAGTCAACTAGAAACCTATCAGTCTTCGCTGTTAGGTAACAATAAAACAAATGGGCCTTGGTAAAACAGGGCTAGGATCGGGATAAATCGCTCCAGAGCGTTCCGGAGCGCTCTCAGAGCGTTCCGGAACGCTCTGGAGCGGCCGCGGCGCCCAGTACATCCCCCAAACCCGCCGATTCTCAGAGATTTCGAGTTATCCCGATCCGATTTTGGCCCGATCTTCGCGTCGTTTGGCTTGGCCGCCCCGAGAGCTGGGTCGCTTGTGGTGGGCCGCGCCCAGGCAGGCGGCACGGCCGGCCGTGCGCTCTCACGGCTCGCCGCGCGGCCGCGGGGCTCGGGCGTCGGGAGAGCGAGCGCGCCCGCGCTGCCCGGGCCGCGGCAGGCACGGGAGGCGCCGACAGAGCGCCCTCGGGGCGAGCAGGCAGGCAGGCAGGAGTGTACAGCAGGAGCTCGATCAAAAGAAGCCTTCCAGAAGAAGCTCTAAAAGGTACAGCAGGAGCTCGATCAGAAGAAACCTTCCAGAGGAAATCCTAAACCTGGGACCCCAGGACGTCCATCGCTTCTTGTGTGTGTGGGGGCGTCACGCTTCCCAGATCAGAACCGCCGAAGCCCAAGAAACCCAGGGAACCCTGGAGGCAAGCAGGATACTTCTTGGCATGGGCCTCAACTGCAGACCAACCCTCGAGAGGCCCAAACGAGGCCCCCAAACGGCCCCCCCAAGACTTGGTGGCGCGCACAAGGGGGTGGAGGGAGGGGGGAGGGCTTCTTAGAAGAAGGCTGCTTCTTAGAAGGCGCCAGCCTTACATCTCTAGAGAAGGCACGCGCCTTCTAAGAAGCAGGGGTGCTTCTAAGAAGCCTTCCCCCCTCCCCCCTAACCCCCTGTACGCGCCGCCAAAAGACGCTTCACAACTGCCTCCAGGAGGCTCAGCCAGGCCCCCAAACAGTGCCCAAGACTCGCACACTCGTCCCCAAAATACTGCCCCAGGAGCCCATGGCGCCTCGACCGTAGACTCCTCTGGGGCTCGGCGGAATGGCGCAAGCCTCTCGAATACAGTTTTTTTTTCGGTAGCGCAGCACCTGAATATCACGATGTGGCCCTCGGGGAAGAGCGAGGGCAGGGGGAGGGGGAGGGGACCATCCTTACGCGGGCACGAGGGACCCCATTGCGCCAGATCTGACGACGGCTGCAGGCGACGCCCCAGGAAAGGGTCTTGTGGTGCAATGCTTGGCCTTTCTTGGACCCCCTGGCGCGAGACGCTAGTCGGGAACTGGCAGACGGCAGAAAAACATGGCCGCGCCTTGGATCCAATGTGGCGAAAGTCCGGAACTGCCCAGAAACCTGGTGCGACCTCTTGAGCTCCTCACAGTAGCTGCTGGAGACAATCACAATACAACCGGTGTCCACGTGCTGCTCCTGCTCTGGCATCGCAAACGCACACTCGGAATCGGGCACGTCGTGCGCGTCAGAGTGAGAGGCGGTGCTGTGGGGGCCTGTGCAATGTCTGAAGGGCTAGCCTCCCTTCTCATTGCGCCAACCCGCTGGGATCCCTCGAGACCCTGTGCCGTGTTCTGGACGCTGGGGCCCTGCTCGGCTTCTCCATCGGTCCACAAAAAGCGCCCCGAGGCAGAAAGACGAGATCAAGACGGCTCAACGACCCTCCAAAGACCAAGATGATCCCAAGACACTCCGATTGACTCCAAGGACCTCCCAAAGAGGCACCCAATGAAGCCTACAACGAAACCCTGAAACACCAACCAACGACTGTGAACAATTGCATGCTATTTTCTCCCAACCATCCTGTGGTGTTGGAACCTCGTTTTGAAGAGACAGCGCCCCGCGTCTCCTCCTCCTCTTTTCCACTCCTCTCCTCTCTTGTTATCTCCTCTTCTCTCCTCCTCCCCCTCCTCCCTCCTCCCATCCGCCTCGTCACCTCCTTGCGTTTCACCCACCCTGTACAGCGCTTCGTGGCCCCATGGGGAGCTCCAACGAAGGCTCCAGCGGCACAGGCCGCATGCGTCAACGCCACCCACGACAACGTTTCGTGGCCCCATAGGGAGCTCCGCCGACGGCTCCAGTGGCTCAGGCCGCATGCGCTAACGCCACCCAGGACAGCGTTTCGTGGCCCCATAGCGAGCTCCACCGAAAGCTCCTGTGGCACAGGCCGCACGCGTCAACGCCACCCAAGGCAGCGTTTCGTGGCCCCATAGGGAGCTCCGCCGAAGGCTCCCGTGGCACAGGCCGCATGCGCCAACGCCACCCAGGACAGCGTTTCGTGGCCCCGTAGGGAGCTCCACCGAAGGCTCCAGTGGCACAGGCCGCATGCGCCAACGCCACCCAGGACAGCGTTTCGTGGTCCCACAGGGAGCTCCACCGAAAGCTCCAGTTTCACAGGTCGCATGCGTCAACGCCACCCCGGACAGCGTTTTCATGGCCCCATAAGGAGCTCCGCCGAAGGCTCCAGTGGCGCAGGCCGCATGCGTCAACGCCACCCAGGACAGCGCTTCGTGGCCCCGTAGGGAGCTCCGCCGAAGGCTCCTCTTCTCTCCTCTCCTCTCCTCTCCTCTCCTCCTCCGCCCCCTCATCCCATCCGCCTCGTCACCTCCTTGCGTTTCACCCACCCAGTACAACGTTTCGTGGCCCCATGGGGAACTCCAACGAAGGCTCCAGTGGCACAGACCGCATGCGTCAACGCCACCCAGGACAGCGTTTCGTGGCCCCATAGCGAGCTCCACAGAAGGCTCCTGTGGCACAGGCTGCGTGCGTCAACGCCACCCATGACAGAGCTTCGTGGCCCCATAGCGAGCCTCACCGAAGGCTCCGCACAGGCCGCATGCGTCAACGCCACCCAGGACAGCGTTTCGTGGCCCCATAGGGAGCTCCGCCGAAAGCTCCTCTCCTCTCCTCTCCTCTCCTCCTCCTCACCCTCCTCCCATCCGCCTTGTCACCTCCCTGCGTTTCACCCAAGACACCGTTTCGTGGCCCCATAGGGAGCTCCACCGAAACGGGGGCCTCCTTTGCGGTACTCGCAAGTGCATATGGTTGGGTCCTTCGTCAAGCAATTTTTTTTGGGGGGGGGCGTCCGCAACTTCGCAACTGTTCGGCTTAAGTTTGTCTCAGGGAGGCTTCAGAGATATCCAGGAAGCCACCAACACGGATCACGACGGCTCTGATACGGCCCGAACCTCCGAGATTGCCCCAAACCACTGCAAGATGGCTCCAAGACGGCCCCGAGACCCACCCTGGTGCTGTTCGTGTTCTTTCTGGGTCTCGGCAGTCGGCCGAAGGGAGAGGAGGGGTTGTCAGCAGCCAGCGAGTCCTTGGTCAATCTGAGTGAATCAACCTCGGGACTATATCTTGCTATTCGTTGGCGTATCGTGTGTCTGTTGTTTGCCCTTGCCTCCCTTTTAGATTGCCTGTCAACGCGCTTTCAACTACCGTTCAATCCAACGTTCTTTATCCGCTTGTCGTCAGCTCGTCGCTTGCGTGCCAACTTTACCTTTCCTTGCAACTTTCTTATAGCTTGTCATGTGCTTGCCTTGGACTGGCAATCAATACGTTTGCAACTTTCTATTGTAGGCCTCGCACATGGGATCCGAGCAGATGGGGTCGGAGGATCGCGCCGCATCGCCGATGCATCGGCGCCGTCGGCGTGGAGAAACTCGGGCTCCACTTCGAGCCTCATCACCGATGCATCGGCGATGCGGCGCGATCCTCCGACTCCACTTGCTGGGAACCCATTTGGTAGACCTGGATTCACGCATACTGCCGCCGACTACAGTCAACCCGTGTCGTAAGGACGCACGATAAGGATTCAACGGCCTCGTAAGGCCTAAGGGCCCTGGAAGGGCATGCCGACATTTTGCGAGCGGGGCACGGCGCCAGCGAAAGCGGCCAAGGATAAGCTGGAGGGGAAGGGTGCAAGGGCAACCTCGGAAACTTGCTCATCATTACTAGTTATGCGGGCTGACTGTACGCTTGCACGCCTTTCAGGTCGCTCTGATGCTGCTGTCGGCTTGCCTCGCAGGGAAGTGAGGAGTCCCGCCCTGGGTCTCCACACTCAAATATTGACAACACACCCTTCATCAAAGCGTCATTTCGTGAGAGCTGCCGGGGGCACTCTGCGTGCGCACTGCTCCGCATTCCGAGTGGACCCCAGAGGGGTAGCTGATCGACGTCCAAAAACAACCAAACGTGTCTGGCGAACCGCACGCCGATTAGCGAAATCGACTGGGGACTGCACTGGTACACTCGAACGCCGATGTCGAGTGAACCAGCGCAGATCTCCTCTGTCGGCTTGCCTGGGTGGGCGTTTGCTCCATGCCCTACACACCTGCATTGAAACGCTGTTCTTAGAGATTCGTATATGGGTTCCGAGCAGATGGGGTCGGCGGATCGCGTCGCAGCGCCAATGCCTTGGCGATGCATCGGCGACGTGAGCGATGCGTCGGCGACGCTGGCGTGGAGAAAATCGGCTCCACATCGAGCTGTATCGGCGATGCATCCGCGATGCGGCGCAATCCTTCAACCCCATTTGCTCGCACCCCACTTGGGAAGCCCAGACGAGCTCCATGCCCGACACGCCCGAGTTGAAACGCTGCTCTCCTTCCCTCCCTCTCTTCGGGGGCGGCCAAGAGGGGGGCGTCCAGGAGGGGGGGCGCAAATCATGGCCGGCGGCATGTGCGCGGCGCGAGGGGGGGCCAGGGACGCAACGAAAGAAGAAGAGGAGCCATGAAATCTGAGGAAACATCATGGCCCGCGCCATAACATCCCCCCCCTTCCAGTCATCACCCTCCTCTTGGCCGCCCCCGATCTCTGCTGCGGTGTGCGTGGCCACGGGACGCACCGCACCCGACGAAACAGACGCGCAGGGCGCGCAGCCTGCGGCGAGACGGGCCCGCCTGCACGGTTCCCCCTGGGGCCGTAGGCGACCCGAGGAGGAGGAGGAGGAGGAGGAGGAGGAGGAGGAGGAGGAGGAGGAGGAGGAGGCGGAGGAGGAGGAGGAGGAGGCGGAGGAGGACGGGTCGCCAAAGCCCTTCGGAGAGACCCTCCGGGGCCCGCCTCCGCCCGCGCCCCTCCGCCGCGGCTCCGGCGCGCTCTGCGAGCCAGGCCGCGGCGAGGCCGCAGGGGCCCCGGAGCGCTCGGGAGAGGCGCCCGCCCCCGCGCCGGCGCGGCTCAGGCCCGAGCGGCTAGAACCACCCGTCGCCGTCGTCCCCGCCTCCTGCGCCGCCCGCGTCTCCGCCGCCTCCGCCCTCGTCTCGGTGGATCACCTCTGCGTGGACGAGGGGGGGGAAGCGGCGGCGCGCCCGGGCGGGGCAAGTAGAGAGGCGGAGCGGCGGGGCTTCTGGCAGTGACGCGGAGCGGCGGGGCTCCTCAGATGGCCTCCCTGGCCCTCCAGGAAATTTGCGGAGTCTTCAGGGGAGGCCCAGGCATCCTCTCAGCAGGCCGCATGCCTTCCGAGCCTTGTGAGAAGGCCCGCCCCTTCTCACTTCCCCCCTGGGCTCGCCACCGAGTGGGAGGAGGAGGAGGAGGAGGAGGAGGAGGAGGAGGAGGAGGAGGAGGAGGAGGAGGAGGAGGAGGAGGCGGGAGATGGCGAGGACAAGAGCCGGGGAAACGCAAGACTCGGGTCGCCTGGGGTTGGCCCGACGGGGCCGTCGGGAGAATGACGAAACCCAATTTAAAATTTGAGGCGAGCTCCCGCTGCAAAGATCCCACGAACACTGGACCGTCAAAAAGGTCAGGACGGGCCCGTCAAAATTCAGGACGGGCTGCTCAACATCCAAGACGGGCCGAGTCGTATTTCTGTTTCCCCGGTACGTGTGCCTAGCCAACACGCTTACGCGGCTGGACGCTTCAATCCAATCCGTGCCCAGAGAATTGCAGAAAACTCCATGGCTTCACGAATGCGAGCTCAAGTCCTACATTACCCCGAGAAGGAGAGGCGCTGGACCACCTCCGTCTGGCGCGGCCCCATGATGCCGTCCATCATCCTGCCGGCCACGGAGAAGCCGACCCCTGTCGCCATGCCCTGCGCCATCGCGCCCCCCAAGCCGCTCATCATGCCTCCAAAGGCGCCGGGGGGACGAGGAGGTGCAAGAGCAGGGGGAGGATCGGGAGGAGGGGGAGGAGGAGAAGGAGAAGGAGGAGGAGGAGAAGGAGGCTGAGGAGGAGGGGGAGGGGGAGGGGGAGGAGGAGGAGGAGGAGGAGGAGGAGGAGGAGGAGGAGGAGGAGGAGGAGCTATACGTCAGGGGACACCTCCGAATAAAGACAGCCTTTCGGAGGTCCGCCCAAATGTATTGGATCGGCGATAGGCCCAATCCCTAGCGCGCGGAGCGCGCGCCAGCCAGGGGCGGTGCCGGAGGCGCCGCCGAAGGGACCTGGAGCAGATCCGAGACGCCCGGGCGGACCTCAGACAGCCCGAGAGCGTGAAGAGGAGGACCAGGAGGTGGAGCCAGAGCGGGGCCAGGCCTGCGATGCCTTGTTTTGTTTCCGTGCGCGGTCCTCGGACATCTCGACCCGTTCCCCGGGACTGTTTTTTCATCCCGACCTGTTTTTCGACGGTCCTGAGACCCGGCCAGGGCCACTCAGAGACCAAGCAACTAGGACCCCTCCCACTATTTCGAAGACGTTGCACGTCTCGGGGGCGTCCAAGGGGTGGGCGTCGTGGAGGGGGGGCTCGCATATTACAGCCCGAGGCATGTGCGCGGCCCAGGGGAGGCCAAGGGACGCATTGAACTCAGAAGAGGCGCCATGACATCTGGGCGGTACCATGGCCCCCTCTATGATCTCCCCCCCCGTGGTCACCGACCCCCTCTTGACTGGCCGCTCCCGAATGCATGGATGGAACATCACACTTTTTCATCGCCACCGGTAGACATACAGTAGGGGCTCGACCACAAGAAACCTTCCACAATAAACCCAACCCTGAGACCCCAAGACATCTATTGATTTCTAGTGTGGGAACGCCACGCTGTCCATAACAAAACCATCGAAACCCACGAGACGCACGGCACTCTGGAGGCAAGCAGGGTGTCTTGGCATGTGCCTCCACTGTAAGAGGCGTGTGATGTCCCACCTGTTTTCTGGCCACCGGCAGCCACAAGACACGTGTGATGCTCCATCCCCGGGCGGGGGCAACGATGCCTTTGGACGCCCGAAATGGGTACGGAAAAAATTGGCACAACGCCCAACAGCAAATGTTGCCCCAAACCGACAGCGGCCGCTGTCGGGCAGGCGGCCTCCTGTCTCAAGTGGGCACAGGCCGCGGCTGCGCGGACAGCGAGTCCTGCTCAGAATGAACAGGAACTGCTGTTGGGCCTTGTACCCATTCTTTCCGTGCCCGTTCCGATGGTCCCGAAAATCGGGGCGGCGTCGGCCTCCTCCTCCTCCTCCTCCTCCTCCTCTCCCTGCTCCTCCCCCTCCTCCTCCTCCTCCTCCTCCTCCTCCTCTCTCTTTTTTTGCAGCAACGCCCATGCCTCCTTCAGTGACCGACGCACCTGTCCGAGGCTCAAACAGGCACCGAGGAGCCAAGTTCCTAACCTGAGCCTCACCTGAGCCTTGTCAGGATGCAAGCCCTTTTTGAGCTTGCGCAAGTTGCGCATTGACGTGATGGTGGGCTGGCCACACTCTTTGCCGAGCTTTAGAATTTGCGAGCCACTATTGTAAAACTTGCATGACAAGCAAACAAACAAATTCGAGCGATCTGAGCAGGGGAAGGCAACGACCTTGTGCCCCAACCTCAGCAGCACGCCTTGGTCCAGCCTGGAGTGTCCTGGACAGTCCCCAGGAGGAGGGGCCCGCGCCCGAGAGCCCTTAAGGCGAATTCGGCACTGCCAGAAGGACCCAACCTGCGCCCACGAGTGCCCAACATCCAGAGGAGGGTGACGAGGAGCGGGAGGGGGCCTGGACCTGGCGGTGCCTCGAAACTCAAGACGCGGCCACAAAGGTAGCAACACAGACCCAGCTTTTAGGACCAGACGCGCTATCTTGATCTTCCTATCGAGCTCATCAGCCTCAGCAGGAGTCAAGGAAGGGTGCAATTGCGCCGCCTCTTTGGCAGCCTGGTCCGCAAAGTGGTTGCCGAGTCTTCTGAAACGTTCACTGGCTGAAATGCCACTTTCATCGACGCCCCTGTGGGCCGAAACTTTGTGGAGGGCGCGCAGGTTCCTTCCCAAATGGTGCTTGCCTTGAAGCACGAGACCTGTGTACTGCCTCTTGCCACGAAGCGCATCAGCACCGAGCGCCACGTGGTCCACCACATTTTGACAGCCACTGTAGCACACGGACGGAGCATCGGCATAGGCTCCACAGAACGCGAACGCAGCATACTCGGCGGCCTGGGGGGTCTGAGGCCAAGGGGCCCACACAGGCCCCTTCAGGACACCTAGGAGCTTGCCGTCTTTCCCCGCCATGGTCACAGCCCAGCCCGCACGCGACAGTTCTTTCACCACATGCCTGTGGCAAGAGCCGTCCATAAACAAATATCCCCACATGCTATCCCCAGGAGCCACCCTGTCAGCACCACGCGCAGGGGGAGGAGGAGGGAGGTCCTCGACACGCCACACAAGAGAGACACCACCATCACACAGGGGTCTTGGGGCAACATCTCCTGGGTGACGGAACGCCCCATACAGAAAGAGCTCTTCTTCATAATCAGGGTCCGACGTATCACAGGCAGCTTCCACTAGCCACGCGGGTAGCACTTCCTTGCGCTGCTCGTCGCACGCCGAGCAGCAAAAAAGCCGATGGTGCAAAGTGTCCTTCGCGACACCACATAACGGGCAGAGGCTCGACACCTCGAAATAGCCAGCCGCCTCAGCATCGGCTCCTGTCCAGAACGCACGACAAGCTTGAGCTCTCATGACGCCCTTGGCCTTGGCGGGGATCTTGGACGACGAGAGCTGCTGCTTGACCACGTCCCAACGCAGCCTGTACCCCACCCCGTACTTATCTCCAGAATCCCGCTCCAGGTTTCTGAGCACCGCGTCGCGACGCAAGACCTTGACTAAGCGGAGGGGGGGGGGGGGGCGGCGTCAGCGAAATGTCCCTTCCAAAGTCGTCCCTGAGGGTGTAAAATCGGGCATGTCCCACCCCGGACGGTAGATGCACATGCGGAGGGCCGAGAGCGGCCCACGAACCTTAGACCACGAGTGGATGTTGTGGCTGAAGGTCTGCATCCAGCCGTCGCGCAGATCCGCCCAAGACAAACGCCACGGAAAGGCGCGAGTGTGGCACAGCCAGATTTCTTTCGACCATCTGATAATCGGCGCCACACTCGCTCGCCAGCACGGGTCTCCCTCAAGCAGGCTGAGCACAGCATGGGATCGCCCTTGCGAGCGTGGCTTAACACAAGACATAGCAGCACGACGCAAGGTCAGGAGCTCAGCATCGGACACCCCGAAGATGTCGGACCCGTAGGTCCCACCAGCCAGAGGTCCCGCAGCAAAAACCTTCAAGCTGCGCCTCCCGAGGACGTCCCCAATATTTTTGAGCCTCCTGGTCTTGCGAAGCGCAGTCGCAAGACGAGCTTTAAACTTGGCCGCACGGCCGCGGCCAGGAGCCCTCAGGGATCGGCCCGCCGTGTAGTCAACCCCCAAGTTCGTAACTCTTCCAATACCCACTCCTTGGCCAGCCAGGGGCCCAAGTTTCTGGAGGAGCTGAGAGGCGACTTCATTGTTGCTAGCAACCATCCTCACTTTGTCCATGGCGAGAAGGCACTGCAGCTCATCATTGATGAACTTGTGGAGCGCTCGGGCTCCGCCCACCAGCGCACGGACGACCTGCCTGGCGCCGCCCGTGCAGCTGAGACCCAGGTCATCAACATGCGCGTCGAAGTCCAAGCCTGGCGACCGAGGGGGCGAGTCGAAGCTGGCCAAAGCGAAAACCCTGATCAAGCTAGTGGCGAATGAGCAGCCCGCCACGATGCCCCTGATGACGAAATAAGGCCCTTCGACATAGCCTCCAAGGGCCAGGTATCTAGCGGCAGCATACGCTCGAATGGCAAGCCTAGCGATACCGAGAGTAAACCCATGTTGTCGGCACCTGGCATAGAGCAAACGAAGGTCGATGTGCTCATACTACTTCCGAAGATCCCAGAAAATGGAGGCCGACACTTCGCCACGGCTGAGTCCAGCCTCGGCCTTAAAGGCTTGCCGCCACACCACGTCAGAAACGCCCCTGTTGGCCCCTGCCGCCCAGAAGTCCCGAGGTTTGTTGCCTTCCCAGCATTGCGCAAAAGACCGACGGGCCCGCCCCCAGAGGCGGTGCCAACTGGGGAACACCCCGATAGGCCGGAAGCCCCCGGCGGGCTTGCCCAAGAGGGCCATGAGAACCCAGGAAATCTGGTGCGGCAGGGAGCCCGTGGCCTCCATGACACAAAACCAGAGGGCGAGGCAGTGAAGGGCCTGATCACAGAGCAGCGAGAAATGACGGCAATGAAAACCATCAACACTCACAGCACTGGACAGCCGATACTTCTTAGAAAAGGCACGCAACTCAGATGGCTGAAGGACAGGCAGGGGTTCGAGAAACGAGTCATCAATGCCCTTCCCGTCCCTATCTCCCCAAATAGACGCAAACTTATCAGCCTCGGCCCTCAAGAGGGCCATGGGGTCCGCAACAATGATGCCCCCAGCCGCGAGCGTGGTCGTGGGGGTCCAAGGCTCGGGGTCACGAGTGGCACGCTGAGCATTGCGACTGCCCTTATCCAATCCTTCTCGAAGCCATTCCTGCCAAGGCGCCTTAGACCTGGCAGCAGCCGCGACATTAGCCTTCAAACAGGCCTGATCGACCGAGTCGAGCAGGACTTCAAGATCCGCGCGCAGGGAGCCAGCAACGTCGAAGGGCTCTCCACCATCAGGATCGCAGAGCCCATCATCGTCACCCGACTGACCTGGCAGCACGCACGGGCGCAATCCCCCTGAGCCACCTTGGCTAGGAAGTTGTCCAGGCATAAAATCGATACCGCGCTGGGAAGAAACGTGGGGACGAGAGATCCAGGCAGCGGGCAGCTAAGCCAGCACTAGCCTGAAAGAACTGGTGCCAGTCGGAGTCAGCCTGCACGGCGACCTCGACGGGCACTGAAACGATGTCGAGAGCAACGCCTCGACCAGCAGGTGGAAGCACCGCACCATCACTCAACAGGTAGCTCCTGAGCGCTCGAAGCTGAGCAGCCAGCCACGTGATGGACCTAAGGCTGGGGTCCTTGACTTTGCCAGTAGGTTTGATAACCGTTTTCCACAAACTTGGGGCGTTTACCTCTCATGCCGAGGGCGGGCAGCTCAACCCCCAAGACGTTGGCCAAGCCAGACTCGGCCGCATTGGCCCACAAACGATACCCAGGCGTAAGAAGGTCCCTGGCTTTCTGCAGATCCCCCAACAGAGCAGCCCTGTGAGCGGCTTCGGCCTTGGCGGTAGCCTCGGACCAATCGCCAGGGCACGGCTGAGGCCCCGCAGGCGCCGACAGAAGCAAGTCGGGGGGGCGGCGGAGCGCGGGGGCTTTCAGAGAGCCGAGGGGCGGGTGACATTTAATGGCCACAGGCTTATGCGGGGAAATCTCCGACTCAGTGACCACTCTGACTTGCTGCAAGCACCGCCCCAAGGCTTCCGAGAGAACGAACAAATCAAAGGTGCCAGGACCCCCCCCCCCCCCATCCAGAGGGGAAGTGGGTGTGCCCATCAGCAGACGCAATGGCCCCTTTCAGAAGCTCCGCAAAGTTGGTTTCAAACAGGACCCCAGGAGAGAAATTGAAATCACCAGCGACGACAAAATCACAACCCTGGGATTCAAGAAAGATACCGACAGCCCGAAGGATGTCCATGTTAGCTTCCGACAGTCCTTGCGAGTGGACCAGGTAGACCGACGCGATGGCGAGCGGAGCACATCCAGGAACGTGAATCAGAGCAGCGGCTGCTCGCCCTTCAGCAAGAACCACTTCAGAAGCTTCGTAGCATCCAAGTCCGTCACGAGCCGCCGCAACAACTCCCGAGACACCACCACCTTCACCGAGCACACCAGGCGCCCAAACAGTCTTGAACCCAGCCCTCTTGCAGATTTCCGACTTCTGGTCGATGTCCGGGGCTCTGGGGCGATGCTCTTGGCCAATGACAGCGTGGGCCGACGTAGACTCCAGAAGCTTGTAGAGCGTGCCCCAATAGTTCCCGTTGGCAGTAGCAATCTCCAGCTGGAAATCCGATGACCCAGAGGAAACAGGAAAAGGAACGGGCCTCGGGGGCTCCAAGGGCTTGGATCCTGGGGCACCTTGGACGTCAGCAGGGACCAAGGGCGCGACCCAAGAATTGGCTTCGGGAGTGGCGGCTCGAAAGACAGACTGGGGCCTCTTAAAAAGCCTGATGCCAGAGACTCTGGATTTCGAACCTACGACCGAGGCTCGAGAGGCAAAAAAGTCAAAAACAGACCGAATTCCAGAAACACAAGATTCGCTAATGCTAGAGAGTCCCCCCCCCCCCCCCCCCCTCAAGACGAGGGGGGGGGCGCCACCTGACTCACTGGCATGTAGAGCCGCATCTGCGCGCGCACGAATGTCTGCTGTCGGCGCCTCGGCTGGCGCCTGCTGGCTGCTCCCAGCCGTCGGGGATTGTTCACCCTCACCACCAGGCGCGGCAGCTGCAGTGGCCTCAGCACCGCCGACACCCCCACCAGCTTCATGAAGCCCATCTTCACGCTTGCGACGCTTGCCAGCCACACGAGCCTTATGCGCTTGATGTGCTGCCTGGGCGGACTTGGCCTGGTCCACTGCCTGCTGGAACAGCGTCTTGGCCATGTCCGCAATGCCCTGAGACAAGAGCGCCGTGCGCTTCTGCATCTCCTCGCGATCTTCAGCCGACAACTCGAGCTCGTCATCATCGCCGAAGTCCTCGAGAATGTCGCAGCTGATGATGGAGCCGATGTCCACAGAGCCAGACAGCAAATCCTCGAGCTTGAGCTTGGCCGTCTCGACGTTGGGCACGACCTTCGAATCAGCAGCCAGCTTCTGGACCGCCTCCTTGTACACCCTGTCAGCTTCCTGCAACTCGCTGCGCACACGCTTGACCTTCTCGTTCTGCTCCTGAACCTCGGACTGCAGACGGAGGAGCCTCGCAAGGTCGCCCTCCAGCTGCTTCTCAACGCCGAACATGTGCGTGATGCTGCTGGGCAGCCTGATGTGCCGAGACTGGCTGCTTAGCACGCTCCTCAGTAGCCGCCAGCGACTTCGCAAAGGAAGAATACTTGGTGGCACCTGCCTTGTCACCAGCCTTCTCACACAGTCGAGCCAACTCAGACGCCTCATCCTTGGACAGGTTGGGCACTGCTCCCACTGGCAACGGCGACAGCTGACCAGCTCCAGCCTCGACGGGACCAGGCTGAGGTGCGCCGCCTGCCCATGAATCGGCCCAACCACCGTGTCCTCTGCCCTTGCCGCCACCACCCTTGCCCCCCTTGCCGCCAATGCCGCCGCCTGTGAAGCCTCCACCTTTGCCCCCCATGAGCGGGCCGAGATGGAAGAACGAGCCTGGGGGCAACGCAGGGCGTGCCCATGACCCTTGAGCAGCAGGTGGATGACCGACAGCGAGGCGAGGCAATAGAGCACTGCAATGGTAGCAATGAGTGTCATCTGGAGCATTCTTCTTGCAACCACAGCCTGGGCATGCAACACCCTGGCCTTGCTTCTTCTTCTTCTTCCCCTTCCGACCTCCTTGGACAATAGTCCACTCATCTGGACGCACCCACGGCGCATACGAGAAAGCAGCGGGCGCTGGAACCATCGAAGGACGATGTTGGGAGGAGAAACAAGGTTCCGTACACAAGGACGTAATAGTGAGTATGAACCTGGCGGGCGAACGCCAGGGAAAGCAGTCGGGGGCCGCGAATCCCCCCCGCCACAAACTCAAAGTCCCTTGAGCAATGCCTCCAGACTTGAGCCAAATGGCTACGGACCTCTCCTCCTCCTTCTCCTCCTCCTCCTCCTCCTCCCTCCTCCTCTCTCTCCTCCTCCTCCTCCTCCTCCTCCTCCTCCTCCTCCTCCTATCCCTCCTCCTCCTCCTCCTCCTCCTCCTCCTCCTCCTCCTCCTCCTCTCCCGGTCTTTCTGTGCCCATTTCGTTCGTGCCCACCGCGCCTCCCCCGGCGCCGCCAGCCGCCGCCGGCACCCCGGCGGCCTGCGCGGCCGCGGCCGCCGTCGGCCTCGGGGCCCCGACCGCGGTGGTCTCATTGGTCTGCTGGTTCCACCAGTAGGACTGGCCAGAGGCGGGGTCCGCCACCTCGGGGGGCAGCGCCAAGGGGGGGGGGCCTTGCTCGAGGCGTGCCCCTGGCGCTGGTTCCTGACACTGCGGGGATCGATCAACCTTGAATGATCGGCCGTTTCCGACACGTCAAACCGTTCAACATCGACCGACGCTAGGTCGACGGCGGCGGTCAGAGTTGACCGCCTGCGGCGGGGTCGCCGCCGGTCGACACGACGCGAATTTTTCATACACCCCAGATCCCCGACGTCATGATTTTTTCATGACGTCGACCCCCAAAATTGTTGACCCATTCCCCGAGACGGGTTTCTCAACCTGAGCCGTTTTTGGACGGTCCAGCGGCACGGTAAGGGTCCCCAGAAGCCGAAAATGTAGAAAAACCCACCGTCACGATTCTTCCATTCCTCGAGGGGGGTCTGGGGCACTCGACCAGGAACCTCTCCGAACGCATGGGCGATCGGAACCCCTGCCTGCACGCAAGGGCCTGGGACTCGACAGCGCCACCCCCTCGCCGCTGCCACCCGCGTCGCCTCCTTCCACGCGTCGGGCACGGGCCTCGGGGCCCCGACCGCGGTGGTCTCGTTGGTCTGCTGGTTCCACCAGTAGGACTGGCCAGAGGCGGGGTCCGCCACCTCGGGGGTTAGGACCGCTAAAAACCACTCCGAGTGAAAAACCGGCCCTGGGGCAAAAGCTCGGGACTTCTCCTGGAGACTTATATTGTCAGACACCTGCTGGGTCTAATAAACTATGAAAACCAGCGCGGCGAGCGCAAACAATCTAAAAACAATCGGTGTGTCGTTTCCAAGGGGCTAGGCAAAAATAGTCTTAAAACAATATAGCCCCTCAAAATCTCCAGTGCAGACCTCTGGGGCACGGGGAGGTCGGCACGACCGAGATTGAAGGCCTCCCAGAGGTAGGACCTTCTCGTCCTCCCGGCTCCCAAGAAGCCTCTTCCGAACCCTCGTTCGCCTGCCAGGTCCTCCACCTCGCCATCGCTCGGACGTCCATTCCCCGTGCGTGTTTCGATTTCGTGTGCTAATGTTTCGCAGTTCGCTCTGTGGTGCCCCTGCATCGCTGCCACGCTGGAGCGGATTGTCCTGCCTCGCTGCCCACGAAACATTTTTTCGCAAAATGGTCCAGGATGTTCCTCGAGGGTCTCTGCCGAGAAAAAGTGCACGCGTCCAGGTGATGCCATGGCCGCTGAAGCCCTGGCCCGGGGCTGCGTCGGGGACCTCTTGGGCGAGGGGGGGAGGTTGGCGCGCCCGAGCGTGGAGGCCCCCCGAAGGAGCGACGAAAAGGAAGGGGCCTTACAGTGGTCGGGGCCTTACAATTACAGCGGCCTTACAGACCCCCAAATAGTCAAACAAATGATCGGAACACCCCGCAATTGCGGATAAGAGTGAGGAGGCGGGCGCGGGTGACGCGGGCGTCGAGCCGGCGGACCTCGTGGCCCTCACCTTCCCTGTCGATGGCGCGCTCTTCCTCCTCCTCCTCCTGCTCCTCCTCCTCCTCCTCCACCTCCTCCTCCTCCTCCACCTCCTCCTCTTCCTCCTTTTCCTCCTCCTCCTCCTCCTCAATTTCCTCCCCCATCCCGATCCTCTCCCTCCTCCTTTCCGTCGTCGTCGTCGTCGTCCTCCTCCTCCTCTCCTCCTCCTCCTCCTCCTCCTACTCCTCCTACTCCCTCCTCCTCCTCCTCCTCCTCCTCCCCCTCCTCCTCCCTCCTTTCTCGTCGTCCCCCTCCGTCCCCCCCTCCTTTTCCTCCTCGCCCTCGTCGTCGGCCTCCTCTTCGTCCTCGTTCTGGTCGTCGTCGTCGTCGTCGTCGTCGTCGTCGTCTTCCTCCTCCTGCTCCTCGCCCTGCTCCTCCTCCCCTCCTCCGCGGAGCGCGCGCGCGCCCGGGGGTGGGGCAGGGCGGCGACGGCGACGGCGACGGCGACGGCGGCGACGGCGACGGCGACGGCGATGGCGGCGGCGGCGGCGGCGGCGGCGGCGGCGACGACGACGACGACGACGACGACGACGACGACGACGATGCGAGCAAGCCCTCCGCAGGCGCCGACTTGCGTGCTCTGACAAGTTCAGCGCGGGGGGGATCGCCTAAGGGCCACCCAGAATGAATGCAAAAACAGGCCGCCGCAGGCGCCGAAATCGTGGCTTGTTCAGTGAACGTAGTTTGGGTCGCGGGTGGGTCGCGGGCTCTCCACCTCCACCTGGAAGGAATTCAAAAACAGGCCGCCGCAGGCGCTGAAACTTTTGATTTGTACACTGAACGCGGTTTGGGTCGCAGGTTCTCCACCTGGAACGAATGCAAAAAAAACCGCCGCAAGAGCCGAAATCTTGGCTTGTTCAGTGAACGTAGTTTGGGTCGCGGGTGGGTCGCGGGCTCTCCACCTCCACCTGGAAGGAATTCAAAAACAGCCCCCCGCAGGCGCTGAAACTTTTGATTTGTACACTGAACGCGGTTTGGGTCGCGGGTGGGTCGCAGGTTCTCCACCTGGAATGAATGCAAAAGAAGCCCGCCGCGGGTCGGGTCGCGGGTGGGTCGCGGGGTGGGTCGCGGGTGGGTCGCGGGGAGGGTCGCGGGTGGGACGACGACAGACAACAAACAACAAACAACAAACAACAACAATAGCAACAGCAACAACAACAGCAACAACAACAGCAACAATAACAACAACCAACAACCAACAACAACACCAACAACACCAACAACAACCAACAACACCAACAACAACACCGACAACACCAACACCACCAACACCAAAACCAACAACAGCAACAGCAACAACAACAACAATAGCAACAATAACAACAACAGTAATCCGCATCGCGAAATTCCACTTCAGCCACGCACCC